ACGTGTGAAAATTTATCAAAAACATTTACTGTGAAATTCTATATTCAAATAGATGGGGGGAAAAAAAAACCTTGTAAGCTGAGAAAATGATGGTAATGATTTAGGTGAAAAAAAACACATAGTATATTGATTCATATATTTCTGCATCCCCCAAAAAGTGGATTTAACTCCTACAAATCTGTGATTAAATAAGTTGTGTCTATTACTTCTAAATATAGTGAAAAGAAGAGTTTATCTTTATGCCTGATATTAATCTTATACTATAAATGTATCGTACATTTTTTTGTCTCAAATTAAAAGGTTGCAGCATGACTCAACTCTTATGATATATAGGGTGAAATAATCTGTTTATAATTTCTGTGCTGTGATCGAAAAACTCGATTGATCTCATGTTGAATATTTTACAGAGATATTTCTCCTCCTGGTGGCTTTCGCATCACCTCAATGACATGCTGCATTTCTCTGAGTGTGTTCTTTCAGGAACTGTTACCTTTGATTGGGAGACATTTGGACTATTGTCAGTGTGTGCATTTTCAAGCTGAGTTGTGTGTTTTACTTTGTTGTGAGCTGCAGTGTTATTCCCCCTGAAAGATAAAGAACACAATATAAAATAAAATAAAAAAGAAAATTCTGATCTTTTTCATTCTAAGTAAAGACAACAAATGTTTTCCCTTGTTTTATTACATACTTGTCATGTTATTTCTGGGGAGAATAAAGGATCATGTAATAAAATCTCTTTTGAAGGGGTACATTTTTAAAGTACACTGAGATATATTTTATTGATTTTTTTGTAAAACATACAACCACACTAACCTGATTTATCTTGCAGCAGAGTTTAGAGATGAATTCAAAACTTTCACAATGAAGAGCAGGTAAGTCAAAATTTACATTTACAGTAACGTTCAGTCCACATCTACCAATACCATGTGAAGGTAAAGGTGAATATCTATGTTTTACTATTTTTTGCTGTTTTTTGGATTGATTGAAAGGTAAATGCATTATTTATATCTGTTTATTATAATGTCTTTATTGTTTTCACGTAAACCTGTGTGGAGAAAATCCAAGCAAGGACCAATCCTTCTCTGTCACACCAAGTCAACTTCATGCTTCCACAGATTTATGGAGTTGGAAGTTCTGATCGTTACCAAAAAAAAGAAAAAAAGAAATCCATTAAGGAAAGCAGAAACATATGTAATCTGTTAGTAGATGAGCATAAAATGTATGATTCTTAACAAGGAGATTAAATATTTTTAGTCTACAATAATATTTAATCCCCATTTCATAATGTGATAACATTAGCCCTGCTTTGAATATGATTTCTACAGAAATACCCCCAGCTACCCCTATGTTAAACACCATGGAGCTATGAGGACTGAGAATACGCATTTAATTTATTGAATTTGCTGCCGACCAGGCAGCCAAAGTGCTAAACAATAAAATTCCCACACTATAAACGAATAAATAAAGCTGATTAAGGAGAAAACACAGAGCTGAAATTATGATATAATATTCTACCTGAGTGGAAAAAAGTACATTAATAACATACTTGTGGTTTATTGCCTTCAGATTATATTACTGTAATGTCAATTTTGTCACTTAATTTCACCACCCACTGTAAATCTAGAGTAATATGATATGCAGTGATATATAAATATATCACATATATATATATATATATATATATACATATATGTTATGAATACATCAGTTTTACAGTAAACGAGAGTACTGTTTAGAATCCACTTAAATGTGTAGAATATATTTCTCTCAATGTATGTAACGTATCTTGAAGGACGCCATAGTGGCTGTTAGATAGAAATTCCTGATGAAAAGCAAATTTATAGCAGCTCTGGTAGAAGGTTTGTCAAGGTCTTAAGGTGTTATTTAAATTGAGTTTGTGGATAGCCTTGGGTCCTCTTGCAACATCTATACAGATATCTTAGGAAGGCCAGAAGCAGGGTTTTTGAGCACATTGCCTGCGGCTATTATTATACTTAGGAAATATTGTGTATTTTAGCTGAAGTGAAACAAAGAAAATTAGCTTCTCTGACCCAACTTCTTTGATTTGGGGGGCACATTCTTGTTAAGCATTAAGTTTCAGCAGAGAGCTCAACACATTCCTGCGACAAATATAAAAATGTTGGAGAAATGTCAGAATTACAAGCAGAACAACCCGTGAGAAGGTGGCTCTCCCCCATTAAAATGCTTGTTTCCTCTCTTTCTGCTACCTCCACTGTCGACACGGTCACCCTGTGAAAATGAAACACTGGAACATAAAAAAAGAAGATCTTGCCACCTTAGAATAAAAACAAGGAGATGGATTTTTAATTAAAGGTGAGAGGTAATACTCTTCTTGGGTGGGGGGTGGTTCTTGCAGAATGGGGTGTAGATGACTGGTTTGAGAAATGCCGGACTGCAGCACCCCTCCCTACTTCCTAGTACTCTAGCCACCTTACCCCTTTCCTCTAACTCCCAGCGCACCCTCCCCTGCACATTCCAGCGTTCGGTTAATTGGACAGGGAGAGTGGGCTGAGGAGGGAAGCGTTCAGGCCCATTAGCAATCCTCCTGTGGAAGGCTGAACCAAGAGGATCACAGACTCACAAATAGGGGGATTAAAATAATCAATAGGTTTCTCTCTCTCTTCTTCGGCACAAATGATGGGTGGATGGCACACACAAACACTTATACAGATATGCACACGCACACACGTTCAAGAGCAAATACAAACACACCAAGAGTCTGAGGAATACTAGTTCAAGGAGGAATTCTCTCCTCTCAGTGTCGTCTGTGGGGTTTTTTTACACACACACACCCACACACTTTCACACAGCTATAGTCTGTTAATGAGGGTTAATTTTAACCTCCGCCAAAATGAGGACCACTGTAAAGGTCATACAAATGAAAATAGCCTAATTTTAGACATGTATTTTTTTTATGCGCTTTTATTGTTTTTGTATCTTTTGTTTTTAGTTTGTTTTAAAATAATAATAAAAATAATAGTTTTAGTTTGTTTGTAATAATATTAATGTTAGTAGTAGTGTTGATATTAAAGAATTTTGAGCAAATAATTAGAAAATATGAAGGATTTGTTTTTCCTTTTTGCTGGTACACAAATAATTATTTTACATTACTTTTTTTATATTTGTCTCTCAATTGCTCACTCCCAGATTCTTCAAAGGGCAAACATAGCAAGTATTTCCTTAAATACAGAATCATAAACTTTTTTTTATAGAAAACTTTTTTATGAATGATTCATTTTATTTTGTCTCTTTTTACCAATCTGTAATGGGAGCAATTGGTCTGCAATATAAAAGAAACATTTTAAATAACTGGTGAATCTAACTTATTCTATTTTGTTTCGTCCATCATAGGCATAACCAGTCGACATAATTAAAAATACAAGCATTAAGCCTAAGGAATAGCACAGGGCTGTCACAGAGCTAGGTTAAAATTTCTGTGAAAACATTAAATATAACAACAAAAGCTTTTCTATCAGCCTTCAGTTTGTACAAATTAAGACCATGTTTTTCTTATTTGCTTGTTCAAGTACTTTCTGTGTTTTCTTTTATTTGTTTGTTTCTTGCTCGAATAGACAAAGCGGGTTTAATTGTTGCTGTTATAAGTAAGAAGTGGTGTCTTTCTTTAGCTGCTGACATGTTGTGTAACAGATTAAAACTTTACGTTTAATACGTTTTAATATTACAAACTCAACCAGAGCAGATCTTTTTTTTCCTTTGATTGAGAACCTTAATCATTCCTGACAAATCCAATCATGCAATTTCAGATAAAATAACAGTAAGGAAGGGATTTATTGTTTTTCTTTATGAGCCTTAATAAGAATCTCCATTATCTCTGCTTTATTTAGGCTAATTTTGTTGCAAATAGGATGCTGAACATTGATAATCAACCAAGCATGCTCAATCAAAGTATCACGAAAGACATTGCATTTCATTTCTCTTTTCTTAAGAATTGTAATTCCTTTCTAGAAACGTCACATATTAATATTGTAGTGTTAAAATAAATACCATAATCTGCAACTATAGGTTGCAATCAACAAAGTCATCCCTGTGGTGTTTGTATGTATGGATAGTTAGATTTGCTGTTCAGAGACCAGTAATGAAAAAAAATGCAAGTGATTTTCTTTTTCCTCTTTTAGTAACATAAAGCAATGACAAATAGACATAGGACGTTTTTATTTAAAAAACGCTCAACCTGAGGCCATCAGAAGCTGTGACTGTAAAAGCATTTCTTCTGTAAATCTAAATGATGTCTTAACCTGATGGTGAAGGCAAAGCACTCACCTTTAATATTGTTGGGGAATAATGTCGATGGACAAAGATCTTTCTACCTTGATGGGTTGTTTTAGGTGTAATTTTAGAAATTGATTAATTTTCTTATTTTGCTTATTAGTCCTTATTTAAACATGAGAAGAATATCTAAAAAAATGAAAAAGACAGACCACTAAAAAGAAAAAATGGCCAGTATATTTTTATTTATTATTTCTAATGATTATTTGTATTTTACTGCTCCCCAAGCAGATGGGTTGAATGCAGAGAGTTAATTTTTTACATTGTGAGATCTATAAAATTCAATTTCTATCCTTCTTCTTTTCTATTCAAAGGCCTACAAATGTCTAGAGTATCTTATTAATTTTCCCGTAATGAAATTTCATTCTTTACTATTTGTTTAAATGAAAAAAATATATATATACAAAATAAATGAATACTTTGTAATTTTCCTGTTACTTAAATTATCTTAATCCTAAAATTTACTTGTAGAGTCTTTGTTTTTAATGTTGTAATAATTATCCGATCCGAGTATTATCAGAGTAATACATGTATTTCTTTTACCGGAAGCCTCTCGTTTAACCCGAGACGCACGATGAAAAACATTATCTTCACAACGTCGCCCCCTGCTGTATTTCCGCTGTCATTACAGCATCCGCTTCAGCCAGCAGATGTAAAATAGCGCGCTCTGGCCGCTGGGTGGCAGAGGCAACGTCAACTGGTTTTCTGCAGACAAAGATGGCGGTGCGGAAGAAGGACGGCGGCCCGAATGTAAAATATTTCGAAGCGTCTGACACCGTTTCCCAGTTTGATAATGTCCGCGTTTGGCTGGGAAAGAATTATAAAAAGGTACTGAGCGCACGTTTTGTAAGCATGCACACAGAGCTTTATTTTTCTTCGTCACCCTGAAACAGAGCAGAGGCAGTGACAAAGAGAGGAGGGAGGGTGCTGCTGCTGCTGCTGAGCGCCCAGCTGTTTGATTCACAAAAGGATGCTGAACCAACTGCTGCCGCAGATGCTGCTGCTGACCGCGGCGTGTACTTACGCCTGGGAAGCTGAAATGACGATAACCTTTACATGATCTGACCCTAGGAGTTAGAGTGTAGAAAGATAAATGTGATTTTAGCCTGGCAGAAGACAAGCTAGCCAGCTAATCGGCTAACGGTTAAAGCAGCTCGGATCCAGATGTTGGCCCTATGGCGCGGCTATGTGACTGAAGTCATGAACGGGGGGGCTTGATTACAGCGACTATTCATCTTTTTTTAAAGAGGTTAACTGTGATAAAACTTGAAAAACAGTCCTTAGACTATAGATATTGCCCTTACCACGTTTTTATTCTCATCATGATGTAATATCTTCAATATTAAACGTAAAAGGGTTGATACTTCTACACTGTAAAATGGGACATGTTTATTTAATTAGGATTTAATACCTTCCCACTAAAACCAGTATCCTAACCCTGCTAGTTCAAATAAAGGGTAATTACAAAAGGACAAAAAGAAAACTCATTTATTTAGCTTTTATTGCCCTTGGTTAATTTTTTAAAGCCATGGCAACTAAATATAAATAATTTGCTTATTTTTATTATATGTACTATTGTAACTTTGTCTAAATTTTAAAATAAAAAAACAACACTTTTTTTTTTTTTTTAAGATGTTATAGTTAAGACACTCGTCAAACATTCACTTAAGGGAATAGGTACATATTGCATGCTTATCTCACAAAAAGCATTTGGTTTGCAACCAAAAGACAGAATAGGCTTGGGAAAAAGAAAAATATTTATTGCACTAATAGTTTAAACGGTGTGTTTAAGGCTGAAACAATTAATCTGATTAATAGTCAACTAAGTTATTAATTGATTAATCTGGAGTATCGAGGCTCTAGATCTAGAATATGCCTTTAGTTGACAGAGCAACCCACTTAGGGCAGTAATTATACCCTAGATAATTAAATTATATATATATATATATATATATATATATATATATATATATATATATATATATGTATGTTTTAGGAACCTTTCACCATCCAATTATTAATATCTTAAATGTCAAAATAATCGACATAATAATCAATCAGGAAGATGATCATTAGTCGCAGCTATAGCTGTGCTCACACCGAATGCATTTTAAGTGTCAGAAAGGAATTCTAAAGCCTTGACTTGGATGCTTGAGCATTTTGAAGTCAGGCTCTCTGGGTGCTCTGGGCTGCTCTCTTCAATTTCTTGCAATCTAGATGAGTTGCAAAAAATAAAAAGGTATTTTTAACACGTTTTCAAGTGAAAAAGTCCAACTCAAAATGTGATCTGTGCAGTCAGTTCATTAGGAATTTGATCCTACTAAAATTCAGAATTCATTATTATCATTTATCAATCAAAAGGTCCCACCCATTTTAATTCTCTCTAGTAAAAAAAGGCTACAGAAAAAAATCTGCCATTATTATGACCCTCTGCTTGTATTCTTTGTCAAAACATTTCAGGAATTTCCTAATTATTTCAGGGTGATCAGACTTAAAATATCAGCCTAACATATCATATCCCTCAAGTTCAGAGTCTGTTGACTCTTAGTTGATTGGTTGTTGATAACATCTCCTTAAAAGGAGTGTATCTTCAGATATTTACAGGTAATTTAAACATGATTTTGTGTGTCTAAAAGTTTGTCATTGTACCCTGTCACAAAAAATCCAGCAGCTTGAACACAGATGTACTGTAATAACATACACAACAGTTTTAAGTGTTGTATAGCTGCTGTCGTTTCACAAGGAGTATGTTCTTGTTATTTCTTCAGTATATACAGGCTGAGCCCCCCACCAATAAATCGTTGTCCAGCCTGGTGGTCCAGCTGCTCCAATTTCAGGAGGAGGTTTTTGGGAGACATGTTAGCAACCCTCCCCTCACAAAATTGCCGGTAGGTGTCTCCCCACTTCCCCTCCGAACAAATTCTCTTTGCCTTCCATTTGTGCATTCTCAAGCTTTATTTTATTGTCTGCATACAGATGAAGTGTTTTCTAGACTTTAAGTCTGGAGGGGCTCTATGTCACATTTTGGCTGCTGCCTACAAGTTCAAGAGTGACCAAGGATGGTAAGACTTTCTTTCTAGCTGATATTAGTTTTTTATCGGCTAAAGTTTCAGGTCTGAGTTGGATTTGGGCTCTCCTGCCGTTTCGTGTGTAACTCCAGTCTAATTTCCTGGTAGGCGCAGGTTTGACTTCCAGAATCCTTCGAGGATGGATCGGAATGTGGAGATGTTCATGACGATTGAGAAGTCCTTAGTGCAGGTATATTTGTTTAGGTGATCTTTGTTGATAATTGACCTGTAAAGAAATAATGGACAGTTAATTCGTCGTTTGTTAATATTTTTTGTGTTAATTTCCTTTGATATTAAGTAAGCTTTACTTTTCGAGAAAAGGCTGAATTAATTCAGAGTAAAAGTCAGAAAAAAAGCGCATGCAATCATTTATTTCTATTTAAAGTTTTATACCCTTTTTCATTGTAGAACAACTGTTTGACTCGGCCTGTTATCTACCTGAGTTCTGACATAGAACCAAAGCTGCTCGGCAAACTGAAAGACATTATCAAAAGGCATCAGGTGGGTTTTTTTTGTCTGTCAAGAAATGTAATTCTAAAAAAAAATTCCAGTGTAATTAAAGCATTTTTCTTAGAATTTCATGTTAGCTTTTCTTCAGCATTCCTCTTCTCTTTACAGTGCATGCAATATTTACTTGATTGTTATGATTTGCAGGGCTCAGTGACTGAGGACAAAACTTCCAGCTCCCATATTGTGGTGCCTATTCCTACCAGCCTGGAGGAAGGTGAGCTCTAGTTTTTTTGCTCTCTGTTCCATATTTGTGGATCTTCTGCAAGAGTAACATCTGTGCTGATTGGAAATCATATCTTCTGTTCAGAGGAGTGGGTGCGTCCTGTGATGAAGAGAGAAAAGCAGGTTCTGCTCCACTGGGGATATTTTCCAGACAGGTTTGTTCTGAATTGATGCGTCTTTACCAGGATCATAATATAAAACGTGTCATGTTAAATTATCATCTGCATTGTTTGTAGATAAGCTTAGAGGCAGTTATAAATACATAGTTTTTGTTCCTAAACACTAGACCTACACATTGATCCTGGTGCAACAGTCTCGCATGCCTGGAGATCTCATTTGCTCCCTTGGTTTGACTTTTATTTTTGTTTCACTTTTCATTCAGTTATGACACCTGGATCCAAGCCAGTGAGATTGAGGCTGCAGTGGAGGATCCTCCCAGCCCAGAAAAACCCAGAAAGGTAAATGTTTTTTGTTCTGTTTTATTGCTGTTCATTTAGTGGGTCAAAACCAATCATGTTGAATTGGACTGGATAAGCTAAGATTCATAATATTTAAAGCTTTTTAAATGTAGTCAAACCAAAAAGCGAATTGTCTTTCACTGGGATCTCCTGTAATAGTGCAACATAACATAGCATATAATTATGAAACCATGATTCATGGAATTTTTTTTTTTACTACATGTAAAACTCTGTATTTTTATCCTACAACCTGAACCTACCTGTTAGAAACCAATTTTTCTGCAGTTACACCTACACTATATAAACTTATTTATAGTTTAACAGCCTAAGCTCAGAAAGATTTGAAGGAGAGCATCTGGAAATGCTAATTTTCAAAATTGCCACTGATTTTCACTTGTATCTAAGTTTGGGTATTGACTGAGCCCTGCCAACACACCACCATGCTATGACTTTCACTACTTCACTTTAGTTTGGGCTTTAGCTGTAGTGTTTCTGTCCTGCTGGAAGAGAAACCTTCTTGAGTCTCAACCCTTTAATGCCTCCAGCAGGTGCCTTCTAAAAAGATGATCTTGTTTTTTCACTCATCTTGTGTCCTTTCAGCTTGTGGGGTTTCTGTTTCTATTTCTGTTACTATTAAAAAATAAATAAATAACCCATTTCTACAGCATGGAGCAGCCACCACCCTGTTTAAAGAGGATGATTGCTAGTTTAGGATAAAATGTAAAATAATGTGGTTTTAGTATTAGAAAGGTTTGCAGGGAGGGTAGCGCCAAAGTATAATTTTCTCCCTGCTTTATATTATGTGCTAGTTGGTGTTGTTTTTTCACAATTTATGACAATAAATGTACAGTACATTAAAAAATGTTCAGTGGGTGTGAACATTTTCCGAGGTATTTTGTCTTCAATGATTCTTAAAGCTTGAAGTAATGCACTAAAGTATTTTCCCCTTTGCCCTTTACTTGCTTACTGAGCAGTTTTAAACATTGTTTTTGACAGGTTCATGCAAAGTGGATTTTAGACCTTGATCAGTATAATGAGTGGATGAATGAGGAGGACTATGAGGTGGGAGAGGGCTGTCCCAAAAGGAAGAGGATCTCTGCCAAAACACTTACGGATGAGGTGACCACACCTGATGAGCGGAGGGATAAGAAACCTGGCAGTGCCAAGAAAAGAAAGCGATCGCCTTCACCTTCACCAACCCCTCCGCCTCAGGAGAGCAAGAAAAAAAATACCAAAAAAGGGTACGCGCCCAGGCTAGGGATGCAAGTAATCCAGTAGTGAATTAATCTAAATTTAAATGATCTTATAGATCGACAAATGACTTATTTATAAACATCCATTTTCCTAAAAAAATAGATTTAATTTCATGTAACAAGGGGATCTTTTCATTAACGTTTTCATCACAATATGCTGAATTTTAAAAACAAGTATATTGATATATTTAAACTTTTTATTGTGCCAAATGTATTAAATACTGAAAAAAAAAAAAAAAAAAAGTTTAAACAAATTTTTAAACTAGACTTTTTCAAAAGATATAAAACTCATTGAAAGAAAGAATATGTCACTCTTACATTCTGTAAGACTTTTTCACACTTTTTTCAAGAGAGTGAATGGTAATTGTGATCTAGCTCTCAATTTTTCAGGGCTTTAGATGAAATAATTTACCAAACCAGCCTACAGGACCTTTTCATCTCTCTGTCTGTTTATCCAGTTTAATTTCAGCTCACTTTACTTATAAAATACAGCTTTACAACAAATGTTATTGTTAAAAGTACTTTATACGAAGAAATATACAAAAGCATCAAACTACTGATATCCAATCATTGTGACCGAAGATCAATTACTTGTATTATTATGAATAAATGCAGTCAAAGTCAGTTTGGTTGAAAAATGTTTTCTCCATGCCTTTGTTTTGCAGCCTCTTTGCTTTCATTTCCTTACATACTAAGGTTATCTACCATGGATTGTTCATTTTAAAGTTGGAATTGATGTTTTTTTTTTTTAGGCATCTGATGCTACTGAACACTTTAGGATAGGACTTGAAACTGTGCGATATGGATGAAAAAAATATCATAATACAAGCCTTTCATTTCAGTCAGTATCAATAATAATTGATTGTTTTTTTTTACCTATTAAAAGTAAAGATTAGGTAAGAAAAAAGCCTAAATTAAAATTGTAACTCTAGCCCTATGTAAACATAACCTTTAACCTTAAGAAATAGATCAGCCCTACTACCAACATTCCTTAGTTTGCTGTGAGAGATTGAGAATATAATCGATTCTTCAGCCCACATCCCCCAGAATACCATGTGGTCCTGGATTATAGTTCACTGGAATTATTGAAACTTTTATCCGACATATTTAATACTCATATGTATGTTTATTTTATTAATTGTTTATGAATACCCCAGGCCTAATTAGACCTAAGGTAATGGTTCAGGTATCCAAAACACCTTCCAGGAAGTTGCTCAAAAACATCAGCTCAACTTTTATTATTTGTGATTTTATTGACACTTTACTGGTTCGTTGTGAATGTGTTGTCAGGCCAACGACTCCGTACACCAAGTCTAAACGGGGTCATAGGGAGGAGGAACAGGAGGAGCTGTCCAAGGACCAAGACGAAGCCTCACCTGTTCCTGCGTCTGAGGAGGGAAACACAGCAAAAACGAGTAAACACATAAGACGAAATAGATATAATTAATACCATTGGATTTTTGCAACAGTACTTAATAGCTATGTTGTCTGTTCTACTGTCAAACTTTGGAGTTAAATGGTTTCTTGTTGCCTGCCTCTAGATAACACCAAGAAGGACTCTGAATCAACTCCAGTTAAAGGAGGAACTGATATGGGTATGGATGATAATACTTAGAAACCTTATTAATTCTTGGAAATGTGTATCAGAGGAAGCAAGTTTATTTATGTTCTTACAAAAAGGACTAATTGATACTTTCTGATTTTATGTGGTTTCAATAGATGAACAAGAAGATGAGTCCATGGAGACAACGGGGAAGGTATTGTTCTCCCAAAAGGTTTAGTTTAAAATAAAATAGGGCTGCAACAACGAATCGATAAAATCGATAAAAATCGACTTTTAAAAGCGTTGGCAACGAATTTCATCATCGATTAGTTGTGTCGCGCGATTAATGCATCATCCGCCGCCGCCGTCATCACTGCCATTTGACTGAAACGGGGGAAGAAGAAAAAATTACGGCAGAGCGAGCCAGCACCGCAGGTGCGCAGTGTTGCCAACTCAGCAACTTTGTTGCTATATTTAGCGACTTTTCAGACCCCTCCAGCGACTATTTGTTTAAAAAAGCGACTAGCGACAAATCTGGCGACTTTTTACGGTGTCACTGGCGGCTTTTGGAGACTCTTATGTGAAAGCATGTATCGTTCCTACTCTTGTCCTGCAGCAGCAGCTGCTGCCGTGGGGCGCCTCCCCCATCCCAACCCCGTTCTCCCTCTCAGCGCTGCAGTCAGAGCCGCAGGATGTTTACCCTCAGCAGCCAGACTGCAAATGAAGCGTGCATGCGCCGGGATTGACGGCGCAAATTGATCACAATAATTAAAATAGCCTTTATAAATAAATTAACTTGCAAATTATGAGGGCAAGGCTTTTAAAGTTTAAATCTTCTGGCAAAGATAAAGTAAAGAAGATCCTGCAATTTATGGAAGTAAAGCAGAATAAAATCCAGCAAGATCAGTAATATGTCAATTAATTATCTGCCACATTCCCATGTAAATATCTGTCTTTGGAGGATGTGTTTTTTAGCACCCCTAGTTCTCTCATTTTTATTCCAAATACAATTTATAATTTGAATCACAGGGCTATTTTTATCTCTATGGTTAAGTATTTTCTCAAGTAGCAACTTTAATTGCTATACTTTCCTGTCTTAAAAGGCAGAACTCTTCTAGTCTAAAAAAAACTCATTTGTTGAAATGGGGGGGGCTATTGTTTGAACCCCTTAGAGGCTTTAAAAACCAAAATGTCTTTTTTTGCGCTTTATGAAACAAAGTAGCCTATATTTTGTGGATGTACAGCTACATTTCTCATGTAAGTTTGCGTAGTTTTAACACAAACATTTATTTTTCATATTGCACCAGGACAGTTAATGAGCAACCTGTACTTGTGTGCTTGTTTGTTCTGTCTAAAATGTTTATTTTGGAATAAAGAGGTTAATATAAAGAATTTTTTTTGTCCGATTCATCGATTAATCGAAAAAATAATCGGCCGATTCATCGATTTTTAAAATAATCGTTAGTTGCAGCCCTAAAATAAAATATGTATTAAAACCATAATGGGCACGAGAGGGAGTTAATTTAGTGCAGACTAAAATAATTGTGTTTGTTTTATTAACCAGGAGGAGGAGGAGGGCTCTCCCAGTGTAAAGGGTGAACCAGTGAAGAGTTCAGACCTTCACGAGGACAATGTGACCGAGCAAACCCACCACATCATCATACCGAGCTACGCTGCTTGGTTTGACTACAACAGGTAACTACACCACTTGCTTATCTTGTTTCCCCCTTTAACTGCTGGTTTGATTTATAATGTCTTAACTTAAACTGGCTTTAACATTAATCCTTTTATTTTTCTCTTAACAATTACTGAACTTTAATGAATTAGCTGTGAATAGTTTATATAATGCCATACATAGAAGTGAATGAGTGAAATAAAATAGGTTTTACCTTTAATTAATACCCAGTAGTTTTGTTATAATTTCACACTAGCACATTCACAGCTCTGATATACTGATTTTTAAGGGTTTCGGACAGCCTCCTAAACACGTTTATTTGTTTAAGACCTAAAGAAGATTACAGGAGAGGAAACCAGTAAAAATAATTATGATAATATAGTGTACATCTTTAGTTTCAGATGAGACTGTGGACTGTATTACTGGTTACTTTGTTAAATAAAAGTTGTCCAAAAGGCTAGCATCTAAAGTTTGTTTTATAATGGAACCTTCATAGAAACAGTGAATTATATTTGGTCTCAGATATTTAGATAATGTTTGTTTCCACTGATTCAACAAAGACCAGAAGAAAACTGGACTCTAATGAAGAGCATATGTTATTTCTCCTTCAGTGTTCATGCCATTGAGCGGAGAGCCCTGCCTGAGTTCTTCAATGGAAAGAACAAATCGAAAACCCCTGAGATGTAAGCATGCATTTAATACACAACAGATTGACTGACCGCGCTTTTGGTTATTACAGTTACATGACCTTTTTTTCATCTGTTTTCCTTCAGTTATCTGGCATACAGGAACTTCATGATCGACACCTATCGACTAAACCCTCAGGAGTACCTGACCTCCACTGCCTGCCGCAGAAACCTGGCTGGAGATGTGTGCGCCATCATGAGGTAGATGGAATATTGAGCCTTATATTTTGTTGATCCTCAATCAAACCAGTGGAAAACAATTGCTGTTTACTGTTTTGCAGAGTTCATGCTTTTCTTGAGCAGTGGGGGCTGATTAACTACCAGGTGGACTCAGAAAGCCGGCCCACACCCATGGGACCCCCACCAACCTCTCACTTTCACGTCCTTGCAGACACTCCTTCAAGTCTGGTGCCCCTGCAGCCCAAGACATCCCAGGTTTTTAAATACTCACATAGAACATGCAGCAAGAAGGTGGCAGATGTTATCTTTCATTTTGGCTTCTTTCATTGAAACCCCCCAGACGCCAGCCACCCAGCCGATAATGTCGTTCCCGGACAAGGTGAAGGATAAGCCCACAGATTTGCAAAACTTTGGGCTGCGGACCGACATGTACAGCAAGAAGACTGGATCAGCAAAGGTAAAAACAAGGGTGGTTGCTTACAGGTGATGTGTGCCTCACCTTTTTAACCCTATTGGTTGACTTGGAATGAAATAAAGTGGTGATATTTTTGGTTTTTAGAGCAAGACTGAAGCAAGCTCTATGAGGGAGTGGACAGAGCAGGAAACGCTACTACTACTGGAGGTATTGGATTTCTGCAAACACAACTAATCAATAATTCTCCTGTAGGGACAGCAAGGAAATAATGAGGAGCTAAAAGATTATCCCATATCTCTTAGGGGCTGGAGATGTACAAGGATGACTGGAACAAGGTGTCTGAACACGTAGGCAGCCGAACACAAGATGAGTGCATCCTGCATTTCCTGCGGCTGCCAATTGAGGACCCATACTTGGAGGACAGCTCCTCCACTCTGGGCCCACTGGCCTACCAGCCAGTTCCTTTCAGCCAAGCAGGAAACCCCGTCATGAGCACTGTGGCCTTCCTTGCTTCGGTAGTCGACCCCCGTGTGGCCTCAGCTGCTGCCAAATCTGCTCTTGGTGAGAAGTGACTTCTTTTCACATTTTCCTGATAAACCAAAGTGGATAAAATCCTGATGAGGATGAGCTAAACCTTTCATTGTCGGAGTGTGGTTGTCTCCGTCATTGAGATTAGTGAATATCATTAGATATTATTTAATTTTAACCAGGAAGTCTAAACATTTAGGAATATTTTTACTGAGAGAAAATCTGAACTGAATCATTATTTGTGGTTAAACGCAAGATGCACACATGCTCCCATGAATCAGATTAGTTTTAGATAAAAACTTTTTAGCGTGCATAAGATGAACATTTTAATGCTAGAACAACACCAGTTTGTGCATACTTGTGGAGTGGAAGTGAAAAATTTACATGTTTTTAAATATATTTTAGAATTATAAAACCTAAAATGTCTTGGGGTTAATTTTGTATGCAAGACCAGTGAGTTAATATTTGCAGAGTAACCTTTTGTCACAGTTTTAGCTGTTAATGTATCTCGAGGTCTCATGGCCAGCCTTTTGCTCCTTCATCCCCAGCTCAGTCAGATTGATTTCTGAATGTTTTGACTTGCCACATATTCTTTAGGTTTGAACTTTGAATCACTCGAATGATTAGGCTTTTATCTAAACCACTTAATTGAAAGGTTATATTCAGCAAGTTTTGATATAACTAAAAAGTTCAGTTATTTCATTAACTCCGTCACTACGGGAAACACATTATGTCGATATATAATAACTATTTTCAAGCCTTTATTACCGTTTATTATCCTTACAACTAATTAATATAATTACCATTCCTTTTTTTAGAGGATTAGAATACTAGATCTCATCATTTACAACAGATTAATAAGAAAGTGTTTTAAACACATATTTTAAGGATAGAGTGTCATTAGAGTGCATTTGACAAATTCTTGAATTTGTCTGTGTTTCATGGTATTAATGGTATAAAGTAGTAGATATCCTTTTCCCATAGTAATTTTTATGTTTGTTGTGTCCCCTAATTAGGCTTGTAGCACTTTTTGAACAGGAGTTTTTAGAGCTTTCTCTTTTCAATCTTTTTTTTTTCTTGTTGCTCTTCTGCCTGATTGGTAGATTAGACCAGACATAGCTGTCATGGGCCTCTTGGTTGCTTCTCTGATTAATGCTATTTCTAGTTAAGTTAGGTTGTCGACCACCTCTTGGCACTGTAGGTTTTTAGTTGTGATAATAATTTATTGATTTCAGAATGTAATGGTTGCACTGGATGTTATTTAGCTGTATTAGACTAAAGGGAGCGAAAAGCACATTTTGTTGGTGTTTCTTATAGAAGGAGAATACATAGAGGTCTGAGGTTATAATCTTACAAAATGGGGAGGCACAGTGAACATTCAGGAAACCTTCAGCACCACTGAACATTCAGCAACATTCAGCAACAGTGAACATTCAGCAGCATTGCAACAGTGAACATTCAGCAAGAGTGAACATTCAGCAGCATTGCAACATTGAACATTCAGCAACATTTAGAAACAGTGAACATTCAGCAGCAGTGAACATTCAGCAACATGCAGCAACAGTGAACATTCAACAACATTCAGCAACAGTGAACATTCAGCAAAAGCGTACATTCAGCAACAGTGAACATTCAGCAGCATTTAGCATCAGTGAATATTCTGCAACATTCAGCAACAGTGAACATTCAGCAAAAGCGTACATTCAGCAACAGTGAACATTCAGCAGCATTTAGCATCAGTGAATATTCTGCAACATTCAGCAACAGTGAACATTCAGCAAAAGCGTACATTCAGCAACAGTGAACATTCAGCAGCATTTAGCATCAGTGAATATTCTGCAACATTCAGCAACAGTGAACATTCAGCAAACATTTAGCAAAAGCGTACATTCAGCAACAATGAACATTCAGCAACATTGCAACAGTGAACATTCAGAAACATTGCAACAGTGAACATTCAGCAACAGTGAACATTCAGCAGCATTGCAACATTGAACATTCAGCAACATTTAGAAACAGTGAACATTCAGCAGCAGTGAACATTCAGCAACATGCAGCAACAGTGAACATTCAACAACATTCAGCAACAGTGAACATTCAGCAAAAGCGTACATTCAGCAACAGTGAACATTCAGCAGCATTTAGCATCAGTGAATATTCTGCAACATTCAGCAACAGTGAACATTCAACAACATTCAGCAACAGTGAACATTCAACAACATTCAGCAACAGTGAACATTCAGCAAACATTTAGCAAAAGCGTACATTCAGCAACAATGAACATTCAGCAACATTGCAACAGTGAACATTCAGCAACATTGCAACAGTGAACATTCAGCAACATTCAGCAACAGTAAACATCCAGCAACATTCAGCAACAGTGAACATCCAGCAACACTCAGCAACAGTGAACATTAAGCAACAGTGAACATTCAACAACATTCAGCAACATTGAACATTCAGTGAAATTCAGCAACAGTGAACATTCAGCAACATTCAGCAACAGTGAACATTCAGCAACATTCAGCAACAGTGAACATTCAGCAACATTGCAACAGTGAACATCCAGCAACATTCAGCAACAGTGAACATCCAGCAACACTCAGCAACAGTGAACACTCAGCAACAGTGAACATTCAGCAACATTCAGCAATAGTGTACATTCAGCAACAGTGTACATTCAGCAACAGTGAACATTCAATAACATTCAGCAACAGTGATTATTCAGTGAAATTCAGCAATAGTGAACATTCAGCAACATTCAGCAATAGTGTACATTCAGCAACAGTGTACATTCAGCAACAGTGAACATTCAATAACATTCAGCAACAGTGATTATTCAGTGAAATTCAGCAATAGTGAACATTCAGCAACATTCAGCAACAGTGTACATTCAGCAACAGTGTACATTCAGCAACAGTGAACATTCAGCAACAGTGAACATTCATCATAATCCTGCAATAGTGTATATTCAGCAACATTCAGCAATAGTGTACCTTCAATTGTGCATATTCCTGGTTCATGCATCTGTAAGTACTAATAACCCCTAGAAAATTAAAAACCAAAAGTCATGATAGCAATGTGTTTCCTTTTTTTTTAGAGGAATTTTCCCGTATGAAAGAGGAGGTCCCTGCAGCGCTTGTTGAGGCTCACGTTCGCCGAGTTGAAGAAGCAGCGAGAGTCAGTGGTCGACAGGATCCCCTGTACGGCCTGGAGGGAAGCGGCATTGCAGGCACTGGCTTAGAGGAGGGAGAACGGCCTGGTAGGATAAAACACTACATGAGTAAGAGAGAGTTATGACAGAAAGGATAAAGCAACATTTCTGACTTCTCTTCAGATGAAAGCAGCGATGAAAGTAAGAGTGACACCCAATCGAGTGAGGAAAAAAGAGATGCCAAGGTAAAATGCTTATTCACTACAAATACAATATAAATGTATTTTTCCTCATCTTTTGGTGACCTTTACTGTCACTTTTTTTATACATAGGAGAGCAAAGATGGAGCAGTAGAAGAGGAGGAGAAGCAGGTGGAGAATGGAAAGAAAGAAGAAGAAAGAGGAAGAGAAGCTGAAGGCGAGAGGGAGGCAGATAAAACAGAGCCTGAAATGGGTAGGCAAGACTTTATCTGTAAGATGTCAAGTTGTTAAAGCCCTGCTCAATGCTCAAACTTTACATTTTCTTCTCTCAGGTGATGGTGATAAGGAGAAGGATGCTAAAGAGGGAACAGAGGAGGGACAAAGAGAAGGGGAGATTGAAGGAGAAAGGAAGGCTAAGGTAGAGCGTGATGTGGGAGAGGGAAACCTGGCAACTGCTGCTGCCTCCGCTTTAGCAGCTGCTGCGGTCAAAGCCAAGGTAAAGCTTAATATATCACTTATCTTCTTTGTTATTGTTTATGTCCTGTAAAGGCAGAGATTCTCTTCACTGTGTTTACAGCATCTAGCTGCAGTAGAAGAGAGGAAAATCAAATCTTTGGTGGCTCTGCTGGTGGAGACCCAGATGAAGAAGCTTGAGATTAAACTGCGACACTTTGAGGAACTGGAAACCATCATGGACAGAGAAAGGGAGGCTGTGAGTGAAGGAACCTGGGATATGTAGTCAAATAAAACTGCAGGCAAACCTGTCATCGAATTGTAATGCGAATATTGTTTCATCAAATAATCCAGGATATTTGTGTTTTCAGCTGGAATACCAGCGGCAGCAGCTGCTGGCTGACCGTCAGTCCTTCCACATGGAGCAGCTGAAATACGCTGAGATGAGGGCTCGCCAGCAGCACTTTCAGCAGATTCAGCACCAGCAGCACAGCCAGCCTGGAGGCCCTCACTCCAACCAGGCAACCTCAGCCCCGCCACCCCAAGGCCCGAGTGCCAGCCAGCCTGCTCCCAGCACACCAGCTCCACAGGCAGCTCCTAGTCCTGCACCACCAGCTTCTTCCGCTCCGCCTCCTGAGTCTCAACCCTCTGCAGCCACTCACACACCATCTCCCTGCCCGCCTGGCCAGGGTCCAACCCCTCACTCCAGCTCCAGCACTACACCCGTACACCACGGTGAGTTTAAAGCACATTTAGTAACACTTTATAAGAACAGGAAACCACATCAGCAGGACATAATACATCGTTTATTTAACTAGGTGTTTAATAACGGCAAACTTCAAACCTTTGTAGTCTTATTATGGCTGTGATATTCTAGTATGTTGACTACAATTTGCAGCAAACCTAATAGAGATGTGTGAAAAGTAACAGTTATTGGTCTTTTATGGTACTGAAATAATCTCACATTGAAAAGTATAGGACTGAAATAGTTTAGAGAGATTCAAACAAGAAAAAACCCAAATTGATAACAGCGGTGTATTTTTTTTTTTTTAAGAAAAAAAGAGTGCAAGGCCTTTATATCAGTTTTACAAATGAATTTCTCATTACCTACCAAAGTCCTGGGTCCTTTCTTATGCATTCTTCTCTTCAGCTCCCCCCTCTGCTTTTCTAAGGGATATAGAACCATCAGACTGAGAATTGTATGACAGATATTTTGGAAAAATTAAAACAAAGAAGAGAAAGAAGCCCACAGCACCAACCTCCCTTCACCATACATAGGAGTAGAAATGTTCTTTTCTACGGACCCATCTTTTGTTTCACTATAAATAAACATCAGGTAATTGTTCAGTTTTAGTCTCCTCTGACCAAAGCACACAATCTCACCTCAAGTCAGGAGAGTTTAGCAAACTTCACATTTAAAAAGGATTTTCACAAACAACCTGTCAGGATCTAATAGTTATCTGAGATCCTGTGATGTCACTCCTTGCTACAGCTTTCTGTTAGTAGTGAACCTTTCTAACCGTTCCTTCAAGCTGAATTCTCTTGGTATTTGGGCATTCACAAACACCCTAAAATTCTTCTTATCTTGCTCCGTCTGAAACTGTTTGAGAAAAAAAGTATTTCTTAACATGGTATTATTTCACCTTTAAACAAATGTGCTCACATTTTTTGAAACTGCTTTTGTAAAAAAATGGAATTAGAGCAATTTAAGAGGAATTTCTACACGTTTCTACCAGAAGGGACAGATTTTGCTTTAAATATGTAGGGTATTGTGATTACAGGTGTCCAACTAGAGGTTGCATTTTGTCTTTGGGAAGCTCTGTTTTTTACACCCAACAACAGACATACACAGATGCATAAGTAGAGTGTAGATTATTATAGAGTGTAAAATGTACATTATTCCTAAAGTTAGAATAAGCTAATTTAGGTAGCTCAACTTAAAAGCTTCTAAAGTCTGTCTTTTAAGAATAGTACCTTTTTAACATTCTCAGTTTCTCTCCCTATGGATTGTATCAGAATAATTATTCTTGCACTGTCTACTGATTACACCGTTCAAAAAAACTCCCTTAAAGATAGGGCTGGGCAATATGGCTTAAAAAACTAATTTCTGATTTTTTTCCCCCCTGCCAAATCCAATTAATCAGTCAGGTTTTTTTACTCACTTGTTTCACACTAAAAATGACTATTGGTTACATTTATTTTTTAAAACTAGTTTGGCTATCAGTCATCCTCTCTCAGAGAAGACCTTAATTAAAAGAACAGTGAAATTCAAGCTGTGAATCCTGCTTAGAAAGTAATCCTGTTTCACATCAAACAATGAAAATATAACACACTAAATGTTTGCAGCTTGTTGTTTTAAACCTTTGACTAATTTATCTGTATTAAGTACACATCTAACAACAAATGGTGATGAACTGATGTCATCCTGAGCTATAGAAGCCAAAGGAGTGGATTCTCCTTAAATTAAACTCTCGTTTAAAAAAAGTTAGTAGATAAAATTAAGCAATCGCACAACACTACTAATTAAGTGTTCATCATAATTTGATAACGATTCACTATTTGATCTTTGAGTGCCTTTTTGAGCAATTCTTAATGAGAGTTTTTGATGTTTCAAAGGAACCAATGATACCAAAATATTTCAGACTTTGCTCTTGAATTTACATCTGCTTAAATAGCCCTTCATCTTTGCTGTTGGCTGGTTTTGTAATTTTTTAGATGAAGCTTTTTCAGTGCAAAAAATAGGTGATCAGAATTTGCAACACCCACCTTGATGTGTCATCATTTTTATTATTCACCCCTGCAGCTTATTCCTTTCTCTTCTCCTGTTAGCTGCTGCTTGACATTTTACTTACTGAAAGCCTTTTCTTTAGCTAGCTGTGGCTGAGTGAATTATCTCAAATGGAAAAATGTTTTGAAGATCCAGCAGTAACATAATCCTCTCCACATTAGATGCCTGGCGGCAACAATCACAGAATACAGACCACAAGGTTTGCACAGCTGTTAAGTGTTTTTCCTCTTGTTTTACCCCACAGAGCCCAGCGCTCCTCACCAAGGTGAGTCACTCCACCCGTCAGCTCCTGTTCCTGCGTCACAGTGAGAAAAACAGAAATAAATAGCCTGAGAATCAAAATGACTGACCATTTCAAACCCTGCTTGTATCATCTGAAATGAAGACATCATCAATTGATGGATGAGAAGACATTTTACATGATTCGTTTTTGTTTTTCTACAAGGCAATTGACTTGAAGATCATAATGTAAATGAATCCACCTCTTTGTTTCCAAACAGGTAATTTTAGAATACAAATGACTCCTAAGGAAAACTATTTGTTTTTTTAAATGAACAGCATCAAGTCAAGTTCATGGTGAACATCTGTAAAACAGACAGTTTTGCCAGCATGTCAGAGCAGAGAACAACAAGAGCTTCATGTGTTGGCTTTGTTTTGAACATCGTTTTGAACATTATGTTCCTCCAGTAGATTGTGATAGCTGTGTAAGTCTCATAGTTCATCATCTCTACAGTGGCCCAGCCTCCGTGTGATCTAGGTACGTTTTCAAACATACATGTTTGTAAGGAAAAGCACTTTTTTCATTGAAAGTCTTGCTCAAAGACTTAAAAACATCTGTCGTATTGAACTCTAGCACTTATATATATTTTTTTGTTGTTTTTTAAACTTCTTCAAATCTGCTTGTGTTTATGTTACATGGACAAGTTGCGTCTACAGGGTTGAACCTGAAGGTTACATGACCCATTTCCTGTAATGAAGGAAGACATTTTAAATGCTAAATTAGCTAATCTAAGGTGGCATGCAGTTAAGAACGTACTGTAAACTGGATTTTCTGTTAAAAGCTCACCTTTTTGTGTCAAACTATGATGCTGTGGAAACCTAAAGACTGAAGTCCTAAAAAGACTTCCCTTTTTTTTAATCTAATTTTTCCCCTATAATGCCAGCAGCATTTAAAGAAAAACCCCTCAGTGTGGATGAACTGTAAGCCTCCAGTTCTAAATGTAGTTATGCTCAGAAGAGTCTTTGCTGACAGCAACACCTTATGAAACAGTATTAGATGCTGTTATGTAAACCAGAATGTTTTCTTTTAGTATGGTTGCTTGGGAAGCTTTTTTTTTTTTTGGCAACTTTTGTTTGTTTTTTGTATGTAGAAAATTGGAAGAAACTCCAATTCTGTCAAAAACAAGGGAACACCTTAAAACCCAATCTTTTCATTGTTTTCACTTTATATCCTAACAGTTTTTTTACATGATTTTTTTTTTTCATCTTTATCCTTGATATGTCAACATTGTAACTGTATATTATTATCTTTGTAGCCTGTATCTACCCTAGCCATCTATGTGTGCCGTCTGGACTGTTTTTGCCAGATCTGTCTGAGACGTGACTGTGACCATGTGTGCCCCCTGCCATTAAGACTTGTAAACAACATTACCTTTCAGTTTTTTTATTAAGTGCCATCAGTTGTGTGATCACCAAGTCTGGAAAACAAAAGAATTTTGTTACACACACACACACACAACGCGTCACTTCAGTGTTATTAAATATTCCAATCAGATGGTGAAATTTTACAGTTAATGTCCAACTAGCCAGTATTGCAGTCCTCACCTCAGCCGTGAGCATAAATGGACATCTTTTATCTGTGTTATTACATTGTGTGAATTTTGTGATATGAAATAAATGTCTGCTCAGTTTCTGTATGTTTTTTCACTTGGCTCAAGGTAGCAAGTGTGGTATTATACAGTAGACATGATTTTTTTTCCTCTGTAAATCATCACATTAGTGCCGAAAGTTTATTAATAAACATCAGACGCGGTTGAAATATGAAATCTTTGTGGAAAAAATAAAGATGTGAAGAGGAGTTACTTTGTTGTGTGTTTTTTTTATTAAAACACTTTAATCACACATTTAAAGACAATGTATGAAACAATTATAGATTCAATAAATTTTATTACTGCCACAGTTCGCAACTAGAAGCACCTAAAGGTACTGTAACTGAAAGACGGGCAGGTCTAATTCATACCCAATTTAAATACTGTAAAGAAAATGGCTTATATTCACACTGAGTATGTAGAGGAACAAATAATTCAGATTACTCTTTAGCTGTTCTGTAAGTTGTTTGGTTAGAAGTAAACTTTAATGCGGAAGCAAAGTGGAAGCATGCAGATAAACCAAAGTAATAGGTTACTGCAGTAAGGGCATATTAATGACACAAGAAAAAAATGTATTGCAAAACTATTTGTTAAAGATATTTTAATCAAAGGTACAAAAGTGTAACTGAATGTGGTGATTTTAAGATGTTTTTAAATTTATTTGTGGCTATGCTAGAAAAAACTGCAATTTATTTACAGAAATAAAAGAAGCTGTTCAAAAATAGAAGGATTATAAAACCCATTGAGTCTAATCAAGGCAGTGATGGTTCATTGTTTTAGGTGTTCTTGATAATGGCAGGATTGGTCCTCCTTAGTCCAACAGCTGCTCGGAGGAAGGATCTTTGATGCAGCAGTCTATCATAGAGTTGACACTACAGGTTCCTGTAGAATTACCTAATTTATTTGTATTTGCTTATTGATTATATATTTATATTTTACTTTTTTTGTCTAAAGGTTTAAATACATGTTTCTACAACCAATGACAATATATTATTTGGAAGATTTGTCATTTAAACTGTATAGCTTGGATCAAATGTTTTGTATATGCTTCAAGGTTCTCAGTCTGAACAGTTTGCTGGAATTGTGGTCCATTTTTCCTGACTTGTCTAGCTGTGTCAAGTCCAAAACAGACTTAACATCCTGAAGAACGTATTCAGAAGCTGTTGTTCCTTTATTCTGTGAAGTACATCGATTTGTCTTGTAGCAAAATATCCTCATATAATCAAATGCTATGTAAACCTTACTACTTTTTCCTCCAGATGTTATGGTGCTGAATATGGGCAAACACTACTTTTTTTTTAAGTAGACCACATGACATCTCTCACAGTTAAGATATATTTTCTGATCTGAATTACCAAATTGTAATCAGGCATTTTAAAATACATTTGGAGTAATTAATGTTTTAATTGCTGAGTGACCAGTCAACCCATGTTTCACCCTGAATTGTAATTCTCCATCAGCTTTATCCAGCCATCTGACAAGCTCTTCCCTTTGCTTGTTTCCCTTTCGGTTGGTACAAATATTTCACAAAATATTATAATCTTTGAGATGACCAAAGAGTGTTGAGCTTTTGTTGCATGTGGTAATTACACCCAGAAATGGACCAGAGATTTGGAGGCCTTGACTTCTACTTCCAAACTTAAAAAAAAAAAAATAATTTTACACTAGAAATATTTAGGCCCAATTTGCCTCAATTTAGCTAGGTTCCAGTTAAATAAAATACCGGTATCCAGATTACGGTGAGTTTGCATAGACCACAACCAAATCCAAACTGTAACATATATTAACAAATTAATTGGATCATTTGATGCTAATTGTAAAAAGTCTTGTTAAGAAGGGCAAGTTGTTCAAGTTGCAAGAAGCAACCTCTCATCCTGAGCAGGTACTATTTTAAACTAGATGCATTTTTGGCATCCACTATTAAGTCTTTTACATGTGTATTATCTCACTCTTAATTCATATGGTCCGATTTGTTGGTGTTCCCACAATAGCAACTTTATTTATTCTGTAGACATGTCTGTATGTCGGCCAGATTATGGCAACCAACAATATACTATGGCTTTTATTGGAAGGCAACAGAACTTTCACTACTACCCAGAAATTGACCACAGGAACTGTTTTGTGAACCGCTTTATTCAATATTTCGTAATGTAACATTTCACATTATCATATTAATCCAGAAGAAAAGACAGCTAGACGGAGGCCGACTGGGGGAGATGATGAAGGTAACCCTATAAGGGGAGCTCTACCACTGATTGTGCCTGCAAACATCAACAACAGTCAGGGAGATGAGATGAAAAGATGTTTTACATCAGACAGAAAAGGCACGTTAAGAAAAAGTTCCAACAGTGACAAAAACAACATTGTAGGAGGTAGGATGACATGGATGGAGGGTCATGACGAGACCAACAGTTCAGAAAATATTCAGAGATAAAATAAAGATGGAAGTGTTTGAAGTCTTCAACCGCTCATCACCACCCTCACAAGTTCTACGAAGTGAAAAGATAAAAAAGAAACAACTTATTAGTACAGTTTCTAGGTGTAATTTTGGAGAAAAAAGCTCTTTTTGAAACTCACTATCAAACAATGTGATTTAGCCATCTTTTTACAAAGGGATACTGAGAGAAACGAGGCATATCCTGAAAACCAATGCTGTGCTTACTCTTTACTGTAATGTTACAGTCTTTTTAGATCATTGTATTGAAGTATAAGGGTAACACTTCCAAAAGGTCTATAAAAAAAATTAGCACACTGGGAAAAAATACAATCCATATCAATGGCAAATGACGTTTTGTATCATAAATATAGAAATTGTTATCTTTCTCTTCAAATTACACATCAAAAATGGATTTGGTACGATTTAAAACTACACAGTTGAAACTCTACTTTTCAAAAGGAAGAGAAATGGTTTAATCTGACAGGAAATTGTAATTTAAAGCAACCACTTATTTACAATACTTAGAAAAACTGTGCATATCAGTGTGTGGAGGGATTTTGTTGAATGGGTTAGAAATTAAACAAAGTAAAAGTATTTCACAATTCAATAAAATATAAGTAATGTGTATGAATATAAGAGATACAATGTCATTAATTCAACAGCTAATTTATGTGAAATAAGCTCTATGTGCGAAAAAGCACATTAGTGTTCTGTAGGTATAATGCAGGTACAATGTTGTTTCTGTGGATATACGTAGATATTCATGCATGTGTGCATACATCAAGATATGCACATTTGAAGTTATGTGTATACTGAGTCATTGTTTAAGTATATACTGTTATTTTTCTTATAGATAAAAATGGAAACCTTAATAAAATTTTTGCTTTAGCAGATGCTAAACAGAAACTGTGTGTATTTATGTGACAGATTAGCTTTATGCATTCTCTTCTCCATCTCTTGCTTTTCGGCGTTTTACCTTCATAATTAATGCAGCCATTGGGATCTTCATGCCCTGCTAAAAGTGTCTCCACTTCTTCTTCCGACATTTTTTCACCTGAAACACCAAAACAAAATTGAAATTGAGAGACAAAAAGAAAAAATTATGCGGACCCGGACACAGATATACAAGCTTTAAAAGTAAATATAAAGCCTTAATGGTTGACGCATTACCTAAAGTGGTGAGGACGTGACGCAGCTCTGCCCCCATCACTGTGCCGTTTCCCTCCTTGTCAAAGACACGCAAACCTTCAACGATATCTTCAAAAGAGCCCTGGTCCTTATTCTTGGCGATGGCGTGAAACATTGGCAGGAACTGTTCAAAATCCAGCATCCTGTTGTTCATCTCTTTAGAAGGTAAACAAAAAAACAAGGAAGGGGATTTTTTTTTATGACAGAAACTCATTTTTTCACACATCATCTGGTAAAATTAAAAACTTCCACAAAAAGTAAACAAGATAGAAAAATGTATCCACATTTACCAACAATCTGAGGGTGTATCAGTCAATAACCACTAACAATCTAAAACGCTGACTCTTTTCTTTGTAAAAGTTGGAACATTAGAAGCTTGCCTTCCATTTTGGGGTTCCCGAGAACTTTCAGGACCTCTGCATTAATTGGATTCTGTCCCAGGGCTCGCATCACATCTCCGCACTGGCTGTAGGATATTTTCCCTTCCCCCGTCCGGTCAAACAGCAGGAAGGCCTCCTTAAATTCTTAAAAGTGAAAAAGAAGTGTTGTGTGTCCAAGACTGTGCTAAGGTAATGATTACGTTAAAACCATCTAGACAGAATTAGATTAAATCATAACATTCAAATGCATTTCAAAGGCCTTAGTTATACATGGAACAAGCATCTTCTGTTCACAATTTGCCTAAAGTTGTTAGCACATCCAGTTAGTGCATATGCAAGGAAGGAGCAGCACAGACACTGCTTGATAGATAGCTCATATCTATTGCTTCATATCAGGGCTAAAAAGCAAATAAGCTCCACACAACTACACAAAGGATATGTACTTAAAAGAACTAAAGGCAATTTGCAATTTTTATAGAAGCAATTTCTTTTCCAAGTTTTAAAAGAACTTAATGAATACTCTTTGATCTTCAGGGAGATGTACAGGTTTTGTTTAACCCAATAATAACCCAATGCATTTACAAAGTATTTTCTCCACTGCTTCAACTCAGAGCAGTTCTACTATAAAAAAAGAAGCAGGCCTTTAATGGTGGTTCCGCAAGTTTACATAGCGACAAGCTTCATAAGTTATGTAGCTGTGGAGTCTAGAGCCTGGAAATGTCTATATTTACTAGGCATTCTATCAAATGGCTTGAAAACAAAAATATAAATTCTGTTTTCAACCAATCCTGTAACCATGGGAGATTTTGGGGGATCCAAAATCACACAGTAATGTATACCTCTGTATGTAAATAAGAAGTGCGTGCAGCTTGTTTTCTTTACTGTAACAAACTAGTGACCCGTCCAGGTGCCTCGCCCCTTCCCTTAGCCAGAAGAGAAACATTCCTTTCAATGAAAATAAATGCAAAAATGTATGTGTTTTTAAAGTTGATTGTTCTCAATTTATACTGTAAGTAGTAAAAATAGCATATTATATAGTAATAAATTCCCTTTTGACTATCTCAAGTCAACTAAAGGACAATACTTTTAACAACACATTATATTGAGATTATTTGTTTGATTCCTTTTTTGTTGCAATAACCAAATTAACAAAAGAAGAAACTATTATAAGGGCTTGTATAACTTCAGTCCATTATTATTTATCCACCATCAAGTTAATTTTTGAACAAGCAGCTTTAACATGGGTATTAAATGCCTTTCTCTGATTGTGACTTCACCAGTGACGACATGTCTGTTTAAAAACATGATGCAGACACACTGCAACTCTTAAGACAAAAATATTCGTCCACACCCATGCCAACAAATTAAAATATCTCACACATTTGTTCAGCAAACAGTTAGTATGAGAGTGACAAACCCTAAAACATCTATAGATATATATATATATATAAATCTATAGGTTGAGGAAAAGACTCCGTTGAACATTTACCTTCAAGGTTCCAGCAGTTTGTAGGGCAACAGTCGAGCTACAGGGTCAAGATTTATAATTCTATTTCAAATCTGCATTGCTACGCTTCATTATACAACTAGTATTTTATATAACCAATAAAAAAACAAGCTATTTATACACAGGAACTCACCCATGATCTGGTCTTCTGTGAAGTCAGACTGGTTGAGGCAGATTTAAGAGACAAGACAACACAAGATAAATCGTTAAAGGCAGGCTACCATTAGCTAACCTTTACATTACTTCCATATGTTACAACCTTAAACCGCAAATTACCACGATTATACGTTTAACATAGGAGTCTAAAATGGTAACTTTACTCACCATGTCTTATTTTTTGTGTTTATGTGATACTCTGCTAGTCGATAGCGTCAGTCTGCACCGAGATAAACGGACAGCAGCGGCGGCTAGCTAACCAGTTTGGTAGGTATGCCCTTCACGACGTCATAAAGCTTAAACGGAATGAGCCAATCACAACCACGGATTTTAAGTTTTTTTTTATGTTTTTTTTTAACATGTTTTGTGGGTTTTTACAACAGTTACAATCTATGGCAATTAATACATTTTGAACAGTCACACCCTAAAATTGATGTATTGAACACAAACCAATTTTTTTAAGAAGTATTTTGTCAGATAATTCACAGCAGCTCTTAAAAAGAAAAATAAATTCAGAACAGTTTTATGTCTATTATTCAGACTTGAGCCTGTGGGTTTATCTAAAAAAAAGAAATTGGCCAAAATATTGTATTTCAGATTTTAATTCAGAGAAGTACATTTAGCAGACAACTGCAACATTTGTTCAAAGTTAACATTAATTTTCATCCCCTCCAAATGTATATTTCTTACACTATTCTGCTATCATTCATGACTCCACTCAGTGGCTCTTTCTCTTCCATTTCTTTGCTGTACATGCACATTCCCACTTTATTCTTCCTGCAGTGTCTCTCCACACTGAAATCGGACAAAGTCCAACACACGAGCCTGTTGACCCTTGAGGAATTGCGCCACTGTCCTGCTAGGGTCTCCCAGAAACGTCTGAGGCAGGAGGCGGGTCTCAGATTCTCCACAGGGCAGGTCCTCCATGTTGCCCAGGGACAAAGGGGCCTCACCCACTATGTGCTGTCCAAGTTTGTGACCTAAAATATGTTGTTCTCCATCCTTTCCACCCTGAAATATAACCAGAGCACCATAACGGCCCATCGACACCTCGGTCTTGCCACTGATGTTGCCATGCACATATGAGCCTATGTGCCACTCGGCAGGGACCCCCAGTGTCACTGCCCGCCTCAGAGACATGTTCTCACCAAGGCGACCTAAGAACAACAAAACATATTAGTTTAACTAGTGATAACATTTATGAGAAAATAAAACTATTACTATAGAAATATTTTAGCTTTATTAAGTACATAATTTGAAATTTTCTACAATTATATTGTATTCTTTGGGAGCAGTAAGTTGCAACATTGGGTAAGTCTCTCAATATACAAGACTGATTAGTCAAGCCTTTGCTGTTCAAACAGTGTACATTCATAAAAAAAAAAAAAAAACAGCAAAAAAAGATTTTACTACTTACATACTTGAATCTCTTTGATAAAACAATCCAGTTACCAAAGGCTTCTCTCCTCCCCCCCCCCCCCCCCCCTCCCCTCAATGGAAAAAACAAAACAAAAAACCTTAAGAAAGCTGGCATCATTTTAAAAAGTTTTTATTTTTTTTTTACACCTTAATTTATTAAAAGATTCTTCCATCTTTGGCAACAACAGCATGTTATTTAGTCATTTAGCTACTCCTTTCAGAGGTTCAGTTGCTGTTAATCTTCTAATTATTATAACTGAGCTTAACATCACCAACTGGTTTGCTCTAATTGTTGGGAGATGGCATTGTACTGTCAACACTAATTACTCATGAAAACATGTGCTATGAGTACGAGTTTTGTCTGCACTGATTGAGCCTGATTAAATTTAGATGTCACAAAACTCTGCCTCTTGAAAAAAAATACTAAAGGTGCTTATTTTATTTTATTTTTATGTGAAGAAAATTGGTGAAAATGTGTAAAAGCTTTACAGAACTGCAGTTAACACAAAACAGTAAAGACATTTGGTGGAAGTCATGGCTAGGGGTTATGTGCAGTACTTGAGAATAGTCAGTGTTCTGTCTTTAGCAGGCAGCTGAATAATTGGTAATGATTTAAGGTAGATGAGTCAAGCATTTCACCGTTTAAACCGGTCTATATTTTTCCAGAAAGAAGATACATTTTCATAGCATGTTAGTTAGTATATACAAATTTCTATAATTTTACTCCAGATTATATTGGCATCAACATGGGATTTCCCATGCAGCTCCACTTTCTAAACATCAGAATTGCAGTATTGCATCATTTTGTGACATTTCATTTTGCAACCTGGACCGTGCCCCACAATCTGGCCTGTCAGGTTGAGGCAGAAACAACTGGAATATGGCCTTTATTGCTAAGGAGGAGCAGATTGGGTCAGCAGGCGTGGTTGAGTAAAAACCAAGAGAAACAGTTTTGAAACAGAAATCTAAGGATTTCCACAGAGGGTGAATACCTTTAGAGAGTTTGATGGAATAGTCCTTTCACTAAAAACAGCCTGCTGAGTGAACTACATTGGTGAGTTAGTGGCAAACAAATATCTGTGAATTATTCTATTATAAGAAATATTAAAATGTAAGGTTATATCACAATTATTTTTTATTTGAGTACAGTTTAAGGCCTTACAAAGTTTTGTTTTTTTTCCTGAGTTTCATTTGATTCATTTCATGGTTAATCCAGAGTATTTTTTGCAATGCAATTTTCTTTAATTTTACATTTATTTAGCAACTTATTTGATTAAATCTGAGGTCATCAACTTTTAGTTTAAAAAAAAGTATTTCTTCTTTTGCTCCTACTAAGCAACATAGTAGGATCAAAAGAAAGCTTTCCCCCCCCCCCCCCAAGCTTTGTTACATTTGGGGTCAAAAAAGGTCAGTTTTTTGTCTAGGCAAGAAAAACATCTCCAGTCTAAAACTGATCTGACCAATTACATCATGGGAGGCAGGAGTTCACTTATAATGCCTGAATTACCCATATTGGAGGAGCAGTTCTTAATAACCATAACAGTCGAGATTGCAGCTACAACCAAGGAAAATTTTATTGATGCTCTTTATAACGTAAGTAAGAGCAGGACATATTCTTTAAACTTCAGCAGCTGGAAGAGTTTTTCGTCTTAAACAAGCAGTTCTCTAACTGAATTCCACCCGTTTCTGCTGTCTCCGTTGGTCCTGCCTTTAAAATCGGACTCTACTCTCTTCTCTTTAGACATATGCACCATGTACATGGTGTAAGACAGTCTGCCTAGCCAGGCTACTGGCAACACAGGCTGTGGCCACCTGAGCTAAAATATGTTGATTTTGGGAGGATTCAAAAGGGTAAATTCTACATGGACCCGATTATAAACCTGATTGCATTTGTTGTTCAAGAGAAATGTATTACATGGAAAAAGGTATTAATTGTTTTATACGTCAAGCGGTCTAAAATATATATATTTTTAACAGACTCCAAATACATTGAATTTGAAGACATTTCTAAAAAGGTAAATCAGTGCTTTTTGTTTTACCCAGTTTTTGTCATAACAGAAAGCTGTTTATTAAAAATGAAAAGTTTTCAAACCATATTATCTCTAACAGCAAAGGCATGGAACAGCCTGAAACAGCTCATTAATGTCCAGATGTCAACATCCTGAATACTAACTTGTAAAATACTGCATAATAAATATAGTTTTAAAATGTGGTATAGTCTTCATGTGTGAAACATGTTTTTAAAGTTTCAGGTAGGATTTAAAAAATATTAATAGGCCACATTCATACAGCATTCTGAAGTGCGAAATCCGATTTCTTTGCCCATATGCAACCTGTATCTGATCTTTTCATGGCAGTCTGAACAACACAGATCTGTTTTTTCTCCAGTGTGACCCAGGCCACTTGGCTATGTGGTCCTGAATCTGCTTTGAATCTGATCTTTTCAAGTGAGACCTGTGTTGTGAGTTTTAATGGCGTTCAGGTCAACTTGTTGTTTTCCTCCCGCTTCTGCATAGAAAGGCACAGAATAGTGACCTTTGTTGAGTTTTAATGGCGTACAGGTCAACTTCATCTGACCTGAGCGCCATTAAAACTCAACAAAGGTCACTATTCTGTGCCTTGCTATGCAGAAGCGGGAGGAAAACAACAATCCTGGCTGACGATAATGCGGAGAGCAGGTTTTCTTTTTTTTTTTTAAACCATCTTGAAAAGATAGAGTTTTTAAGGTTACTTCCGTAAACACAGAGCACATTTGCTTCCGACATCGCATCCTCTATTGCACATATGGGACACTTAAGCTCTATGAATGAAGTTCACATAGGAGATCACATACAATTTATTTGGAAATGTGAACAGCAACACAAAAAAATTTAATTTCACAAAAAAATTGGAGTTGAGCATTAAGGCCTGAGGTGTGAACGTAGCCTTTGATATTTAACTTTCAAAGATGAATAAGGAAAAGAATCTGGAAGCACCAAATGAAAAAGTGCCTGGAAATGAATATAGAAGCACTTTGTTTACTGACCAATCGTGAGAGCCACATGGTCAGCTAATGAAGGTCCTTCTCCCACACTGAGTTTATTCAACTCCTCACCCGACAGAACACTCTGAAAATAAATGTTATATATTAGAAGAGAAACAAATACGAAAAAAACCCCAAAAAAACAGGGAGTGCCAAACAGATTTTATTTTTGATAGAATGTTATGACTGGAACTTTATATCTCCGCATGTCACATCATCAATCTGATCCAGTTTATCAGGGTTTATGTGAGAAACAACACAAAGCAGCACAAAACGCTGAAGTTGAGAGAAATATTCAGTGTTTTTCCAGAATTGTAATTCCAAGAATGTTAAAACCAAACATGAATTTTACTTTACAACTATGCATTACTTTGCAGTGGTATATTAAATAAAAACCCCCAAAACTTCTTTGGTGGTTCTATGTTTTATTACAAAATGGAAGACAGTAATGTTTATAAAGGCTTGGCAGCTTTGTATTAAAACTGATCATACAAGTCTTAACCTCTTAAAACCCACCGTCTCCGGCGACCCGGTGCACCTTAAGTGTGGGTAATAACTCAGACTGCATAAAATTCCATCGGTAAAATCTTTACCAGCAGGGGGAGCCATTGCGCGCAGCTCCAAGCTGACACCAAAAGTTCAAAGCCCTACAGCTCTAGCACTGTTATAGCTAGAGGTCTGAAATTTTCTGCATTTGTGGTTGACATGATGCAGAACAAATATATAACAATAAACCTGCTTTTTCTTAAGAATGTTTTTATTACCGCTTTTCCAAAAAGACCTATCATTTCCAAGAAAAAAAGCAACTTTGAGTCATGTTTGAACTGATGCAGGTTGGTCTGTCTTCTAGTCACCCAAATTTATTTTATATATTAGGAAACTAGAGGGTGTTAGCTTTCAAATAATGTATTGCACATGTAATTTGTGCTAACAGTTCCTAAGTTATTTGCTTTTTCATTTGGGTATGCAAAATAAGTGAGGATTAGCCAAAATGAGGTGGATGTTAAGAGGTTAAAAATCAAACTTTTCATCTACTCCCTCAGGTGCTGTCTTGTTTCTTTTTTTGTATTATTTAGTTTTTATAGTTTATTCTAAGTGCATTTTAGCTGGAATCATTATTATATTGGGCATGGGGTATTAATTACCATACATTTTTTTAATTACAAAAAAGAACATACATGAACAATATAGAAAATTAATAATTAGAAACATATACAACAACAAAGGGCTCTACAGAAAAGCACTATTATTTTAAAATGTCGAAATCTAATCTATGCTCGAGGGTTATAATTCTTTACCGGCAGTTATAATTTGCATGGCTTTAACATTTGAACTAAATTTTAAGGATTCTATATAGATGTTATTAGAAGATAATAGAATCTGGAAATTAGGTTTATGTTGTATATATTTTCAGGTGTGAATATGTCATTTAACATTTAATGACCATAAGTTGATTCAGATGCTGTTAGGTGGTTGTCACAACAAAGGGGGATAAACAGCTTCAAAAATGGCCATTAAATAATAAATACTTAAGAGATAACACAAATTTCTCTTCTCTGCAGAATGAGACCACAAATGTTTAGGTCTGCAGGATAGAGCACACAAAGGATACCTATCCTTACCTTTACATATCCTGTCTGGCTTTGACTTTTATTCTGATGATGAGCCAATGTGGCTAAAGTCACATCCTTTACCAGCTGCTGGAACTTCTCATTACGGGCAACAAAGTCTGTCTCACAATTCACCTGCAAGAAGAAAAAAAAACTATTAATACCAGCTAACAGTGAATTAACCTGCCGATAGATCCCTTCAGTCCTCACCTCCACCATTGCTGCAGTTTGATTCTCCACAAACAGGCCAATCAGGCCCTCTTTAGCCTTTCGACCCACCAGCTTGCTGGCTTTGGTCCAGCCCTCTTTCTGGGCCTGTTCATGCAGCCAGCTTTCAGCCTGAAAGTTCACCATCAGTCAGAGTGGGGAAACCAACAGGTCAATACTAATACAGACAATCATACCTGCGTTATGTCATTCTCAAACTTCTCTAGGGCTTTCTTGCAGTTGATAAAGGTGTAGCCGGTGTTTTTCCTCAGTTTCATGAGCAAGGCTTTATCTGCAGCCAGTAACTGATATCCTGAATGCAAACACCGCACCGTGTGGCTGGCCTGGACCGCACAGAGGATAAACACTCACATATTAATGTCCTGTTTTCTGTATTCTAAATAATTATACGAACATATGTAAAGATAGACAATGGCCAAACTACCGCTACAACCGCTTTTAAAACACAACTCAAGTGAAAATAAAAGGTTTGATATGCTTACCCCAACTGCTTCTCTTAAAACAGTTCTGAATAAATAAACTAAAGACATGATTAAAGCGGAATAAAGGAGCTGTCTTATGAAAGCTCAAAATGTCATTGAAATCCACGCCGTGGAAGTAAAGAAGGAAGCCTAACAAGGACAAAAAGCTTCCGTTAAAAGAAAACGTTATTTTATTCTACGCCATCTACAGGCCCGGAGGAGAACTTCTTCTTCTTCTTCTTTTCTATCATGGCGGATCGCAAGCAACTTTAAGGTGTATACCGCCACCTACTGTTCATGACTGTGTAGCAACACTGTTTTTAATCTATTAAATTCTATTTTTTAATTTTGTATTCTGAAGATAAATAAATAATGCTTTCCTTAATCTATAAATATTCTTTATATGTCCTTTATTTCCCAATAATCCTTTAAGACTCCATTCTTGGCCTGTCCTTTCAACTACTCTTCTCAATTTCTCCCTTTCAGGTACATATGTTTTACAGTTCATCAATACGTGTTCTGGAGGAGAACTTCTTCTTATTGAGTTTTATTGGCGGTTGGCAAAAAACGTTAGGTGAACATTACCGCCACCAACTGGTATGGAGTGTAGACCACATGAAAAAAAAAAAAAAAAAAAAAAAAAAAAACTATATCATATTATACAACCTAATCTTTTTCAAAAATTCAAATATAACCCAATATCCTCTGCTTCCTGATTCCTTCTGCAATAAATCGACAATGTCAAGTTTCATTTTCATGTTACTAAGTTTCCTTATTAACCTGTTTCTCTGTATCCAATATTTACTACAATTCAAAATGACGTTCCACAGTCTCATCTTCCCCACAGTCACATTTCCCTGTCTGATGTTTCCCTATCAAAAATAACGATCTATTCAATCCAGTGTGTCCTATTCTAAGTCGAGAAACAATCATGTCTTCTCTCATGTTCATTTCTGATCTTCTCATTGGTCCAATTCTCTTTTGTGTTTTATAAAGCCACCTTCCTTTCTTTTCTTTGTTCCATAACTTTTGCAACCTCTCTCCTGGAGGAGAACTGAGTCAGACAGCCGCCTTTAAACTGTCGAAGAAATAAATGGATTCAACAAGTTCACTCTGTGTATTATGATTATTTAACAAAAAAAATGGGAAGCTCCCAAAATAGTAAAGAAAGAGGGAAAGAAAGAAAGAATTTATTTTAAACATCAATCGTTTATTAATCTAATAGTGAGCTAAATTCTATTATCTCTGAAGAATACATTAAGTAAATAGAATACTTATATGACTATGATGTTTGAAGAAGGATCCAATCAAATATATATATGATCTGTATGATACGAAATCTGTGAAAACTGTACACTATATATATATATATATATATATATATATATATATATATATATATATATATATATATATATATATATATATATATATATATATATATATATATATATATATATATATATATATAATTTTTTTTCTTTTTATTCAACAGTACTACTTGCCAACTTTGCTTAACCAAAGAAAATCCCCTTTAATCACAATTTCTTTCTTTCTTTCTTTTTTTTTTTACCATATCAAAAAAAGCTAAAAAATAAAGGGCTGTTCCAAATGTCACTAAGCACTGGTAATAAATCCATTATTTTAACACATTGTACAAAACGGTGAAAAACTGCTTCTCTTAAAGAACAAAGGAAATGTATGTGTAATCACAGAATTGAGAATAAAGATAAAAATGGTAATAGTAGCAAAAAAACAAAAACAAAAAAACATCAAAATTTTTTTTTTATTTTAAATCTCTCCAAGAATAAAGTAAAAACATAAGAAGAAGTAGAAGCTTTGATATGAACTCACCTCAATTACTCAAAATTTGATCAAAATTAGCAGTATCAACATAATACCTTTAAAGAGCAAATCTTCAAAAAATATTTGATTACCAAGGCCAAAAAGTTGACATATAGGTTTCCAGTACGTGGCAAGAGCTTTCCTTTTTAACACTATCTTGATACAGTTGCACCTGTTGTATCAATTTGTAAAATGTCTTATAAAAAATAAACCAGCAGCGTTACACATAATTTTCTAAGTCAAGGAGTTATGTTTAGATAAATTTAATTCTGTCATATACAACTCTTAATTGGAAGCATTTAATCATGCAGGGTTACTACTGTGCCACATTTTAGTAAAAATGGGACTTTAAAGTTTAAATTTTTAAACAACATGACCTCTTTGAAATCATACTTTTGCCTCATATTACATTCTGCATTTATAACACCAAAAAGCAGAAGTAAGGTGAATAAAATAGATTATGTTGTTTTTACTTTAATTGTTACGGTAATTATTATTTTTCAGTTTAATGAATAAACCCATAATGATAACTGTAATGCATTAAAGATGCTATATACAATGAATGAGGAATGAATTTCAAGACAAATTCAATGCTGTCTGCCCATACTAAATGGAAAATTTTACTGGTAAACATTTGTGCAAATATTTCATTATGTCAACATCACCAAATTTTCCATTGATCTGAAACCTTGTGTGATGAATGTGTTTGCTTCATGATGTTTACACATTCTAAGAAGCAGGTAGCCTCAGCGTGATCAGGGACACCACACTAATAACTCCATGTTGCTCATGTTCGATGGAGCCTGAGAAGTAGAACATCTGATCAAATTGATTTGATGAAAATAGAAAGTGGCTCATGATAGACATTGATTACATTCCTTTTTTTTACTGAATAAACTGCAGCTAGATGTTTTAATAAAGTAATTAACTTTATTAAAAAAAGTTGTTTCTGAAATGCAACCCCTATTAGTCATTATAGTTAACTATTTCAACTGATTGGATACTGCTGCATCATAGACAGGTGTGCACTTTCACACCGAAGTGTAATATGGGATTTTTCATATTTTCTACTATATTAACATATTCGAAATTTTACCAATTTTGTCTAAAACTATTTATTATTTTATGACACATAACAACAATCCACGCAATCTAAACAATGACATGCATGCAAAGTATGACTTAAAAAGTTTTATCAGAGAAAAAAGAAGTTCAGTTATCACAATCCTATTTGACTATTTTGATATGATGGTGATTGTGTTGTGTTCATGTGACTCCCACTGGATTGGCCGAGAAAAAGCAGGTATAAAAAGATGGGCATGGTAACAGCTGTGTCACCACACCTTTCAGGTTGCTGTATATCCAAGATGAAGGTCGCAGCCATCCTTCTCCTTTGCACGACCCTGTTCTACCAGGGTTACAGCAGTAAGACATGTTTATTTTTTTCAATCATCATAGTATAACTGATTTACTGTCATGATTAAAATGTATCCCGTGTGTCTGCAGACACCCTGGACTCATGTCAGGGGCGATGTGGGTATGGAACAGACAGCGGTTACTCCTGTCAGTGCAACCCAGCTTGTGAGAAGTACAATGACTGCTGTTCTGACTTTTGGACGCTATGCAAAGGTGAGTAATAGGTAAAATCTTCTGAATTATATCTATATTTCTCTTTTGATAAAAATGTAAACACCTATGCAAACCTTTCCTTTAATTCTCAGACGCAGGCACGTCCTGTAAAGGCAGATGTGATGAAAACTACAACTCTCAGAACCAATGCCACTGCAACTCCAAGTGCTCCCAGTACAACAATTGCTGCAGCGACTATGCAGAACTTTGCAATGGTAAAACCAAAAACATTGCACCTGCTCTTAAAAACTTTCCACTTCACATAATCTCTTCGGCTGTTAGTCATTCTTGTCAGTTTATGTACTTTCAAGAGTTATTTTTTGACACCTGCAAAGTTTCACATGGGAGAAGTTCAGTTTATCCCTTTGCCTTTAAACACAGTATTGCATCTTAACTTAAATATATAAAAAAACAATAGTTTTCAAGCCTGCCACCAAATGAAGTGTGGTGGTTCATGTGCAGTTAAATGCCTTAAAAATAATTCGGTTAAAGGCATTGAAGCGGTAAATAAATATTGCATCTCATCTTATCCTTTCTACAATTAATATTTATACATATAGTGTCTGGCCAGGCGATGGGCTGGTACATTTATAGGTCCTCCTTTAATGGTACCATTCTACAAACTTTGTAATTAATCGGTCACCCGTTTGGTGTGGTTAACCCATTTTTTCAATTTTTTACTTTGAAACACTTAAAATATTTTAGGTACTTTTCTATTAAAGTTTGTTCCACCTCTATTGAAGAATGTTTTATTTAACAAAAATAATAGACTTATTTAAAACGTGTTAGTCCTGTAAAAAAAAAAAAAAAAGGAAGTTTATAGGTTTTCAACATTTCCATCTCACTTTCACCCATAGTAGCAAAGTTGCCATTTCAAAGAAAGCAAAATCTTTTTTGTTTTTGTATTTTGGGTTCAACATACTGCAAATTCACTGCAACTAATGAACGAATCAGAGATTTTCTTTATGCTATCTGTTAAGTATGCCTGATGACTCTGTCTGAACTGTATACATTTCTGGGATAATTCTCTGGCTGAGTAAAAAGTGTTTTATGGTAGCATCGGTCACTTTTGCTCTTTTTCTACTTTTTATAGATGATAAATATTGCGTAAACATACTTATATTCACTGTTAAAGATAGAAATAAATGCGTAAATGACCAAATTCCATGTGTTGAAGCAAGCATTAACACTAGGACATTTATGGCTGAAAAGGACCTACTGTAAAATCATTCATGACACTCACTTCACTGGAAAGCATAATGGTGTGCTGAAAAGTGTCTGGAATGGATGTAAACTGTGGGATCTACTTTTTTTGCATTACTCAAACAAATATAAAATATCCAACTCTCCTTTAGCTGTGAGCGGAGACACATCTTGCCAAGGCAGGTGCAATGAAAACTACAACTCTCAGAACCCGTGCCACTGCAACTCCAAGTGCTCCCAGTACAACAATTGCTGCAGTGACTATGCAAACTTCTGTTCAGGTCAGACAAATGGTGTTTTATTTTGCTGTTAAAAGCCCTTTACTGCACTACAGTATCAGTATCGCTGTACCTCATTCCCTCTTTAACACCTGGACATTTTCACATGAGTTGCGATAAACCTGTTCCTCAACAGTTGATGCCTGCATTTATGATTTTCCATTTGGACTCTCGGAGCCGCAGATTATTTTTGTTTCATGTGGCAACTTCAATAGGTTTTTTTTTTTTTAGCGACTGATTTAGACTCAGGATCTGCTAAGACAAAACTGCAGGACGGAAGGTGTTTTTAGTTAGAGAGAATGGTGGATTGGAAATATATACTTGTTGCAAGTTACACCAGAGCTTAGGGCATAAAGAAAGAGCTTTCAGTTCTTGCAGAAATAAAGCCAAATACAGCACAACAGGAAAGAATCTGCATCCTTGCAGATTTTTTTCTGTTGTGGCATTTTTAAATTCCACATCAAATTATATTTCAGTATTGCAGATAAAAAAAATGTCAATATCAAACAAATATAGCTTCAGTTGAAATATATTATATTTGAAATGATTATTTTGTTTATCATAAAAAAAAAAAAACACAAAACGTTATCCTCACTAAATTGACCCCTCATTAAAAATGTGACCACTCTCACCCCATTTCCTTACTGACTTTCCTGCTGTAGGAATCATCTGAGCAATGCAGATGTGGATATGCTATTGTGAATTGAACATTTGTTTATTGAATTACTACATAACCCGGAGAGACTCACAGAGAGACAAGAACACGATTTATTGACATACATTGGTCTAAATATTTTTAGAGGACATAGACCTGAGCATTTCTGATGATAGAACGGGCAGCTTATAGAGAGGTCCTCCCCCAGGAGCCTGGTAGAGAACTGGAAGATGAAGGAAGAAAAGCAAGAGGTTGGACACATTGACTTGAACATGATGAAGCAGCTTATTAAGGATAGACTTGAATGCTATTGGCTGTGAAGGAATCTTGGCGAGCAGGAGCATGTTGGCAGAGGTAGATCCAGTTGACGTGGCAGTCTGGATGAGCAGGGGAGACTTGGCAGAGTCTTCCAGACTGAAAATACAGCAAGGCTTGATTTGTTTTACACCAAAATTAGGACTTTCCAAAACATCCCATTTTGCCGTGTCAGTCCACAGAATAGTTCCCTTCAAAATAAGAAGTAAATACTTTTGGCACAGTAGGAGTTTCGCCCTTGTAACTCTGCCATAAAAACCATTTCTTTCTGTCTTGTATTGACAGAAACACTAACTAAACCAGGTGAGGTTTTCCATCTCATTCTCATCTTACATCCCAATAATTCATATTTAAATCAAACTATGCAAAAATTAGATAGATTATCTTAAAGGGAACTTTAAAATTCTTTTGGATAGATTCACAGATGTGACGATAATAAAATAAACATAAAACTGCACTCAGGCAACACTGTTAATTCATCTGAATTAAAAATCACTAAAGTTTGTAGATCGAAAAGTAATTAGCAAAGTTTTATACTTCAGCAAATGTCCAGTAGGGGTCAGTGTTTCCTTTAAGACTCTGCGTATATTTAAGCAGCTGCCAAAGGAATCACTAGTGAGTAAGTTTGAAAATAAAATGTAGGAACAGAAAATTCCCCACATCAAATTAACTATGGCTTCTTTTATAATCTTCAACCTAATAATGATATGTTCATATATTCAGAAAAATAAAATCAGATAAAAATGGGATTAGTCTACATTAGATAATGCAGGCAAAGCCTTGTATTATGATGTTCATAAAAAAAAAAGAAAGAAAGAAATTTAGTGTTACAGAAGTTGAGGCAAGGTTGGATTTAAAACCTTCTGAAAGATACTTTGAGTTTGAAATTATGCTTATTCTGATTTAGAATATATTTTTTTTCCAGTTTCAGCTTTCTGGTCAAACATTTGACCGATCTGTTGTCTATAGAAGGAGTTTGTTTTGCCTCCAATACAAATTCAAGAATCGTACAGTTTTACAGGCATCAAAGAATATACGCACTTGTGTTATTGTTTATGATGATATTTTAAAGATTTTCTGAAAATGTAAAATTACATGTACAAGTACAATTCACAATGCTCCTCTTTGTCTGTTTTTAAATGTGTTTGTTTTTCCTTTTCAGTTCATAGTAAATCCAAAACATCCTAGTTGCTCAAAGGCAGATTCGAGGGCCACTATTTATTGTTGTTGAAAAAAGCCTGCTTTTCCAGAGACAGAAAGACCCATACCCCATTATTTTTCCTTTAATATACTTCAACTTCCTAGAGCTATGAAAACCAACAGTTAACCCAAGGAAACCTCTGGTGTTCTTTTAACAAGGCCACCATACAAAATCTTTATATCTATGTTTCAGTCTCAACATTTTTCATGGAGTACTTTCCTTGACTAATACAATTTTGTGTTTATTCATATATGTGGTCAGAAAAAAATAGATAATTTCTAAATATCTGTATATTCTTATTTTTTTTTTAAATAAATAAAAAAATCTAATTTTGATGGGAATTCCGATTAACATTGTTGTCTAAAGTGAAAAAGCACCACTTCTAGAAATAAAATCTTCAACTTGAAAAGACAAGACTTCCTTATTTAGCCTTGAACACTTCCAAAGAAAATGTTCAACAATTCATTTCATTTAAATCTTAAAGCAAACTGTTTCGTTTGAAATAATGCAAAGTAGTACACCTTCTTCTTATTGGAAGTTATGCTAACACCTAGAAGTGGCCTAACCAGAGTCTTTGATCCTGAAAGAGAACATGTAGAGGGAACTAAAGATAAGGTTGATGACAAGAGGGTCCAAACTCAAATAGATTAAGCTTGTTGTTAAGGATGACGGATCATATACATATCAGAGGAAAAAATAAAAAAAATGAAAGAAAAGTATAACAAATGCGGCATTTAGTTATTATGATGCCTAAAATGGCTTTTTCAGGGATTATTTAGAGGTGTATGAATAACATCTGACATGCAGTATGTTGAAATGTAAATAAGAAAAGAGAAACTTTCTTTCAGGTAGCATGATAGTTATTATTTTCATGTTTTATTATTTGTGTTTGCACAGAGTGTTTGCTGTTTTACAAATTAATTGCTCATTTTAAAAATGAGGCCTTGTTTCTTTTGCTATGTGCAGCAGGTGACACAGGTGGTGCCATCACTGATTCTGAGCTCATATCCCTCTCTGAGACGCTTTACGCCCTGGACTCAAACAAGGCTTCCCCCTCTCAGCTGATCCTTGACCCTCAAGCCCTTGTGTCAGACTCACAGACTAGCTCCCAGTCAGATCTCTCCTCCCGTCCGTAAGCAGTTTTAATAAATTACGGAAAACTCTAACCTATATATGATCTTATTCCCATAGAAATCCTTCTACGTATCTTTCTGTTTGAAATGTAGCTGTTTTCTTATTTGCGCTTCCAGGTTGTACAAATACGTGGATGAAAACACTCTGTTCTCTCGCCCAACCTATGCTGCCCTTCTGAATGTTCTTGACAACTACAAGAGGATGACAGGACAGGCCGAGAGCTTCACCTCACAGCAGCAGACTGAGCAGGATACATTCCTCAGAGAAACTATGTTGAACACCGAGCTAGGCAGAGAGCTTTTTAGCTTTCTCTACACCAAGGGTAATGCGTGCAGTTATTTTTTTTTTCAGTTTAGAACACTGCAACTTGCATATCAAATAAAGTTCTAATCAAATACACAGATATTAGCTATTGTTATGTGACAAAATGTGAAAAGGCTTGAACTTTTCTATTCATAGATTATATTCTGTATTTGAAGGTATTTATGCATCAGAGTCAGAGTTTATTCAGGACCTGAAGAACATGTGGTTTGGTCTCTATTCTCGCTACAACGGTGCCATGGACTCCAGCGGTTTTGAACACATCTTCGGAGGTTTGGATGAATAGGATCTCATTTGAACACTGCTTCAACCTTTAATTTAAGATTTAAGGTTCTAAAGAACAAAATATCTTCAGGTGAAATCAAGGGAGGAAAGGTGTCTGGTTTCCACAACTGGATCAAATTTTATCTTCTTGAGAAAAGAGGAGAGCTAAATTACTACAGCCACAGCTTCAATGGTCCTGTAAGCATTCCCGAAAGATGGCAACATATTAATCCCAGCTTTGTTTAATTTACTAGACAGAAGTTTTTTATTCTTTCTTCCCACTTTAGTGGTCCGGTTATCCTGATGTTTTGGGACTGCAGTTCAAATGGGATGGCTACTACAAGCAGGTGGGCTCTGCAGTGATTGGTTGCAGTCCTGAGTTTGACTTCGCCATCTACAGCCTCTGCTACATTGCTCGGCCTGGGAAACAGTGAGTAAACAGCCTGTGCAAAGAGAGAAATAGCTGCTGTGCTCAGAGTTTAGGGAGGAATCTTCATGGTGTTTCCTCCCTCAGATGGACTAATACAAGGCTGTCTGGGATTCTGTGTTTTTATCAGTCTCATTGTTTTTCTTTGTCTTCTCTAATGACAAGGCCAACCACCATGTTTTATCATGTTTCAATCAGAGGTGTCGATAGAATTGGGTCTGATTAACCACCACCAAGTAATTGTCTTGGTTTATAATATAAAATTGCCTTTAAACATACACAATTACGTAATTTTAACTGGATAATGTGTGATGAGTTCTACTCTAGAAGTATGACTGTATCTCCACAAGGTGAAGGTGCAGATATTAGAAAACCATTTATACCTGCAGCTGTGAAACAACTTAATTCAAAAAACACTTTTAACTAGATTATTTTGGTTTCCTTTGAATGTTGTGTAAGATTAATTAAAACATTGTCCTGCAAAGCAGCTTTGTTCAAATACAACTGTATAGAAAAATTATACAAAATCTATATTATTAATTTTTTGCATGTGGAGGCTCATAATTTTCCTATCTCCTATTCCCAGGTGTCACCTTAGTCTGGGAGGGAAATCGCTCAGCATACAGACCTACACCTGGGATAACTCTTCCTACGGAAATGGAAAGAAGTATATTGCTTCAGCCTATCCCGTATCGATGTAATAAGAAAGGAAGCAATAGGAAAAGCAGCATAACTGTATGACCTTCCAATCATTTGGCTCTCTTTATGCTGTAATAAAGTAAAATCAATATTAAAATGGATACATTGGTTTTCTCTTTTTATTTTTTTTCTAATTTCCATTGTTTGAATGAATCTGCGGTGAAACCCTCTGGAGTTGCAGATCACTGCATGAGAATGTGGGGCTATCACAGTGGTACAATCTATATGTGCCTAATGGGGCAAGAAATGGGCATTTACACAGCCAGAGAGGGCACAAAGCTGACACCAGCCCTGCACAGGCAGAAGCATGTGTGCATTAAGCAGCTCCTCATTGTCTTATGTAAGAGCAAAACAAAGCATAAAGAGCTGTACTTGTACTATGAAATAAAGAGACAAAAAGATATTAACAGATTTTATTCTGCTTGACCTACTCTGAACAGTAGCACCGGCAAAAACCTGCTCTTATCAGCTGGCAGTGATGCTGTGTGTGTGTGTGTGTGTGTGTGTGTGTGTGTGTGTGTGTGTGTGTGTGTGTGTGTGGGTGTGTGTTTTAGTGTGTGAAGGTTGTGTGAATGGGTTCATTTCTGTGTGTGCATGACCAGCTGGACTGGGGGTTGATTTTGCTCTTTCACTCATCTAGGGTGACTAACAGGATAAATTCTGGTCTGCCGACAGAACAGGGGGACATACTTGCTGGCCTGTTTAAAGAAAGTATTACAGGAGATGGATCTGTCACTGATCCTATTGTCAACCAGTCTGTGTGCATTCGTGCAAAATAAAGAGAAAAGAGCACAAGAGCAGTTATTTTGGATGAAAACGTAAACCAACTGTGATTCAGCGACTTGGGCCTCACAAGCAGTCAGTGTCTCAGCAACAGGACAATAAAGTCAGTTTCAATATTTTGTCAGAGCATATTACATTTTTTAGAGCCGGTGGCTGGAAATTGAAAGAGCAAATCTTCTCTCTTTTCACACTACCCTCCTTTTTTACCCCCAGTGGAATCAAATTAAATCATGGAGTGGTAAATAAAAGGAATAAAAAGATTCAATTGTGTCCTTTGTCGCTCACACAACTTTATAATCAAATTATAGCTGGCCACCCGCCAGCGTGTCCTCGCATCTCCCCCAACGGGTATTCTCCCTGCAGATCGCGTGAACCACCTGACTTTTGTTTTGTAATTATATTATCCTGCGCTCCCTTTAGCGTGTTGTGGCTAATGGCTGAGCGGGCTATCCCAGCTGCACATGCAGAAACAAAGCTGCTTATGGGGCCAGACAATGGAGCTATGGAATAGGGACGCCTGAAGGCGGTCGTCCAATGAGCACGCACAACAGGGGGGCTTGCAGAGGGTTTAGGAAAGGGTTAAGGGTTTTTTTAGGGGTGATTGCGCAGGAGGGTGTCAGGTTAACCCAGGAGTCGGGGGCCCTTCAATGAGATGGTTAGTGGAGGGACACATGGTCAGTATCACCTCTGTCTCCCCAGAGTCGATGTTTGGCTGGAGGGAGGTTCAAGTGTGGCTTAGGTGATGGCCATTTCTAAAGTTGATGGGAGAGCATGAAATACAGAGCAACGTTCATCCTCTGCTGGTGTTTTGGGGATTTTCTAAACAATTTGATGAACATATTGTCATTGCACTCACCAGTGGATACAGACATGTGCAGTGAGAGAAAGAGAGAGAGAGAGACACTCTTGGTTTTAACCAATCTTTATTGGCAAAGGTAAAAAACAATACAAACTGGTCACTTTGACAAACTATTGGTTAAATAGCATAGAAATGCCAAGGCCTGGACTTGAACCATAAATTGTTTGGTTGTAGGGCACACCTGCATCTGAAACCACAGTCACCACTAATGCTTCTTGGAATTTAACACTACTTATTTCTAATGTTACAGCGATGGGTAACACCAAGATTTGCATGCTGTCCATGTACACATCATTGTTATCTAGGTCGATAACTACACTTGACTACAGCCATACAGTCAGATTAGTTAATCTTCTGTTACCATTTTTATTGGTTGGATGGTTAACCAGTTCAATTGGTTGATCCAAACCCAATGGCTTGGTCAATGTCCGACCAATATATTAACTAATCTAAACAACATTGGTTTAACCAACTAGATTGGCTGTTTTACCAACCAATACACAGAGTCTACTAATGTGATAAACCATTGGAAAGTAGTTGATAACTAGAAGGGTTTTCAAGTCGCTCGTTGTTTATAAATACAAATCTTGTGATATGTATTTATATTTGAAGTAATATTAAAGCTTTGCTACCTGATTTGCACATCTATACACTAATTGGAGTTTCTACTTTATAAAACAGCTGAACCTTAAGGATGGGTAGAAAATATTGATTCATTGCAGCTCTGGCTGAATGTTAAGGCCATCAGTGTCCAAAGACAGCGATGGAGGGTCACTGTCCAACATGTTTTGGATCTTAGTCTGAATCAATTGATGGCTTATCACCAATCCTCCAAAGTGATTAAAATCTGAGTTGGCAATTCAAGCATTTAGATCAGATTTGCTGTAGCAGAGATACATGGTAAACATACACAACGTAGGTCCTAGTGGACTGGAGTTGGAAACCCCTGGTTTAGAGTTTTTGTTAGTGGGCACACCATCCCCACATCATGATACTACTATCACTGTTTGTAATGGTGAAAACACTGTGCTCATGGTGATATGCAGTGATTGATTTTCTACACACATGCATATTTCATACTTCAGACAGTTTAAACAGACCAGCTTCTTTCTCTCGTCAAATATGTCTTTTGACAATGGAACTTCAAACATTTTCTCACTTTTTGCAAGATTTGAGCATAAATGGATGTTCCGTTTGCAAACTACACCTGGGTTATCATGTGGCTCTTGGTTGCTTTACAACTTTAGCTCTTCCTGTCACTTTGGGAGAGTTCCAGAGTCTCCCAATGATTTGAAGTTGTGCCATACTCTCCAAAATATTACATTGAACAGAGCTTTATTTTGAGGATGTCTTAAGAGCTCAGATCACTTAGACTGTATTAAGGGGTAACAGGGTAAAAAAAAATTAAATTGCGGGAATTTACTTGTATTTGTAAAAAAAAAAAAAAAAAAAAAGTAAGAAATCATGTTTTTATTCCATTTGCTTTTTGTTTCCCATACAGCTCCCCGGTAAAACTAATTTAAAATGTGGATTTAAATGCAGCCGATTCAAAAAAAAGTTTAAGGGGCACAAATATTTCTGCAATACTTTTTAAATAGAGAGCAATCATACATGCATACCATTACAACCTTTACAGTGTTTGTCCAGGATCTCTCCAAGGATTCCCAGTATAACAGATGGACTAACTCCACTCCCCCCCCACTGTTACACTCAGACACTTTGGGAATTAACAGGAGAGTTATGTTTGTGTGTGTAATCAAGTGAAGTTTTATGTGTCATTCAATTTTATGAGGTAAACTTAATTCATATATCATGAGAAAGGTAAGGAAAGGACGAAGCAGCCCAGGGAGAGAGGATGGGCATCTGAGCCTCAGACAGAGAAGACCATCTGCAGCAGGACTTCATGTGCAACCACTAAAGAAGAACCAGGGGACATCGTGTCACAGTTACTGCTTTACTCTCAGGTAGCACTTGTGGAGCATTACTTCTGTCCTCTAAAGGAGGACTATCGGGAGAAAGAAGTAGAATTTTGCTACCAAAACATTTCATTTTACATTTTTGATTAAAAAAAATCATCCAAACAATGAAAGAAGCTCGTGCAATGTAAATATGAAGCCTCAGCTATCATGCTCCCCTGCTACTTCATTTCTAGGGATGCAGAGGCTCAGCCATAGTATTCCCATTTCAGGCTGCAGGTGTAGAATATGACTGGAAAGGAAGGAGGGGGAGGAGCAGCAGCAAGGTGATCACCTGGGGAATGAGGCAAAAGTGTATTTTCCATATATCCCTGGTAACCCATCTAATGCCTGTCCCTTGATGCATGTATTTCCCTTTTTTTAAATTTACTTTACAACCTCACTTTATAATCTCTAAATCAGTAGTCTATTTAATAAATGAAAACAGAGGGCAATCTATATTTTCACAAAATATTGAAACATAAAAATTGAACAATATTTTATTTTTATTGAATGATTTCCATTTGTTTGCATAAAGGATAAGCAATTAGTATGTGCATTTGTCAATGACAGTAAAATTAAACAATTAGAAAATGAAAGCCAAGTGATGGTAGAAGAAAAGTGAGCCCTTCGAGCAACAAGCGTGTAATTATTGTTAAATATAGAAGTGCTTAGACTTTTGAGAATACTTAAGCCCTTTTTTCTGAAGAATGTTTGATTTTAGTCAGTTAATTTTCCACTTATTCAGTTATTCACAGTGGATTTGTGCATATTATATCCAATTAAAACTTTCACTGAATCAACTGCCCATATTCACACTACGACCATTACATTGGTCAAAGTCTGACTGTTCTAGGTAAAGTATTAATGTTTCCTGCTATGATACAGCTGACATAACAGAATTGGTCATTATCAAGCTGCCACAGCCATGCATAACAGGTAACCCAGCCTTTTGATTTGCTGCGGTGAGGGTTTGCTCAAGATGGTTAGTGTTCATTTCAGTCTAATCCAAAACGGTGAAATGTGAGGAATAAAAAAAAAAAATGAAGAATGTTCGACAAAATAAAAAAGCTAAAATTCTGACATAGAACAGGCAAAATAAGAATAATATGATTTGGGGATGTGGGGATGTCAGGAGATGTTGGTAAAACAGAGAGCAAAGGAAATTACCTGATGTTTCACTGGTTTATTATTACCAAAGCAATTCACAGACTGGTATCAGAGAAAGAGAGAAACCTTCAAAATACTGATAGTTATGGTTACTGCTGTTATTTTAGACTTTTGAAAAGACCAGAAAGCCTTATTCTGGAAGTGGTAAGAACATTATTTGACCTTTAAAACCTATAGGCAAAGGCCCCTTGTAATATTTTTGAAAGATGAGTTAAACAGTTCATCAAAGCAGTAGTCTAGACCTAAGGAGGACCCACTGAGCGTCCCAAAAAAGGCCTTGTAATTGTTTTCACAATAACAATGAGCAATGCATTAAACCCCTATTGTCTCTGGA